TATTTTAAATGGATTTTTAAGTTCAAGTTTTGGTAGTACCTATGCTTTACAATCTGAATTTGTTGCACTTTATAAATCGGGGAAAATTTAAAAACTTTTAATTAGGAAAAAGAAAAAAGAGAATTATCTTTGCAAAATTTTATATACAAGTTGATTGCATTTACAGACAATTCTGATTAATTTAACAGTTTAATCTTGGAAGAACTTGAAAGTTTTGTTGCAGGAAAAAGAAATACTTTTGAAAACTACTTTATCAATATAGGATAATGTTAAAATCTAAACTTCCAGCATATAAATTTCTTTTGTAAATTATTTCTTATTAAATTTATGTCTAGGTTCAGTGATATTGACTTGAATAAAAAATTTTAATTATCTCAACTTCTGAGTTTTTTTTTTATACTAAATATTTACAAATTGATGTTATTCAACAATAATTATTACATGTAATAAATAAAATTAATGACTTGTGTGTTTGAATCTGCCATACTGTCTCATAATACTAGAAACTTTATTCCAACAGTAAATATCTTTTGAACATGAAATATATTTTTCATTATGACTGTTGTCTTTGTTTTTGTATTCAGTTTTAACTGCACTACTTGGCCACTTTCACTTGCTAGTTGCATTTATTTTTTTCTGATGCTGCAGTTAACTTGTTCTGTCCAATTAAATAGAGAGGAAAAATAGAGCCATCACAAAAAAATAAGCACTGACCTGCTTTTATAATAAAATTCAAAATAATTTTGGGTAAAATGGTGTTTATTTGTTTAATATCATTTTGAATGCACTTAATAAACATTTCAACAAAATCTATTATATGTACATGAGATCACTGCTTATTTCTGTGATGGCCCCATTTTTTTTTCTCTCTCTATTTAATCAGAGATTGAGTAACAGTATCATCACAAAAGCTGCAGTTTGTACTTGAAGAAAACTGGAGGGTACAGTGGTTAAAATATAAAAGCAGCCAAGATGAGGACAACAGTCCAAATTAATATCTAACAATAGTATTCTCAAAATTTCAGACATATATATATATATATATATATATATATATATATATATATATATATATATATTTTTTAAATTTATGTCTGAATAAGTTATCTGTATTCTAATTTAAAAAAAAATGATGTAGAGTGTGACATCAAATAAACTTCTGTAGAAAAGTCATATTAATCTTTAAAATTGATCTTTGATTTTACTTTATGGAACTTTAAAAAATAACTACATTTGGCTTGTTTTTACAAGATATTGTTAGTAATGGTAAGTAGGCTGAGAACATGTTATCCTTGAGCTGAACATTGATTCTAAGTTAAAAGTACACCTGGCCTGTCTGCTGAAAGCTCAAGTAGCTGGACTAATGTTAAAACTGGTGGTTCTTAGCTTATGCAATCATTGTCAGTAATCACTGGCATTGCTAACAAAACCATAGGCAATTAAAGATAGTTACTGACTTCAATCTCATCATTTTTTCCTGGTGATGACAAGGAAATGTCTTTCTATATATTAGAATTACTTGAACCATATTGAAAATTTCTCTCATTTTCTTTTGGATCTATTGATTGCAGTTGTTTGTCTATAAATCTGTTTTAGTTCTTTATATTGTGCTGATTTGTATTCATCTAAGATCATTGAAAAGTAATTCTAGATTACTTGGAACCTTTATTTGTAAGAAAGAAATTCAAATTGAATTTTATAGGGCAAGATACAATTATTTTCAGGAAATGGTGAAGTACTTCAGTTGAAAAAAAACATTTTTTTTCTCTAATTGCAGAGTTAATTTTAAATTTATTTGTGTATTTGATCATAAATCCAAAATATTAAAGCTGTTTTTACTGTGCAGGTCTCATTTTTTATATTTCAGTTAGTAGCAATTGATGTGATATACATACCTGTTTTTTTGTTTTTTTTTTAATTTCTGCTGACTAGTCAGGTTGCTGGAATGAATTGATTCTATAACTTTAATACCCTAAGACAAAAGAAAATGTTTAAGCAAGCAAGCAATTGCAAAGCTTGTCAGTTTCTAGATCTAGTGAATTCAACTTTTCTTTTCATTCTAGTCAATACATGTATGTAAGAATATATAATGCAAAATCTGTCTGGAAATAATCTAGCCATTAATAATAACGAAAATATAGCCTGTTAAGAACAATAACACTTTATCTCCAGCTCCCTCCAAGTACACTGCTTGTAATCTGTACTCAGTCTCTCTTCCACTTTCTGAAACATTTTTCGAAGTCTTCCACAAGTTCTTTAATCTTGTCTACAGTATGAAATGTTCCTCCTATCAATGTTGATTTTTAGTTTTGAGAAACGTCTAGAAATCATGGGGAACATAATTTTGACTGTAGCTGACATAGCTTGCTGATATATTTTGCAAAAAAAACCCCCAAAAAACTGTAGGAAACCTGACAGGCACATTCTCATGATAATAAAAGAAGCTCATATAGTGATGTCTTATAGCTGAATGAGTAACTTCATACATGGTAAGGTCTCCTCAAAGCAGCATAACCGGCTTGAAAATGGTTGGATACTTTCCAGATACATTTTATATATTTTAAATGTCTTAGTATAATTTTAATCCCAACTCAAGGAAAAAACTTATAATGTCAACTGTTGTGATTTATGAACGTTTAAACAATATATCTTAGCTATCTTTATGGAAGTAAAAATGCCCACTTTGTGCTATCCAAGAAAATCATACACAAATACAGCAGCAACAAGTGGATAAACTATAGATGAATTGAACTTCCAAAAATGATTTCACAATTGGAAAGTTCCAGGGTAACATGAAACACTAATTTTTATTTCTGCATTTAACTACTCATCAAGTTTTTGAAAATGCTCACTTATATCTAAACTTTTATGCTTAATGTTCTGATTTATCATTTTAGTCATTATAGGGAATTCAATAAAACGATTTTTTATTTTAAGTAAGACATACTATCTGAAAAACATGCATTCTGTTTTTTAAATTATAAATGAAAACATTTGGATAGAAAATCATCAGTGTTTCATAGGTTTTAGTCATGGAAAAGTTAGTAATGCACTAGTGAGCAACTCTGTTTTTTACAATAAAATTGGTATTAACTAACTGATTTTGGAAATTTTCGTAGGATATACTTATAAATATATTGTGTATTTCATTATGTGTTTTTATTTGGTAGTCTGAAATTTTATTATGCAACTTGAGGGTTGTTCATAATGTTTTAAATAGATACATTGATATTTTATTAATTTCAGATATATCAAGATTGCTATAGGTCATAATAAAGAAACAATATATTGTAAAGTTATTTGGTGATGGGAACACAGTGTTGAAAATTGTGAAAAGCTTAACAGGTCAGAGAATAATAAAAAAAAAAAACAAATGGAGAACACAAAGAAAAAAACTTTTATAAAATGAGGAAAGATAAGATTAATAAGCAAGAAAAGTAGATTGACCAGAAAAAAATATTTGAAGCTTGTTTTGCAAATGTGAAAAGAGAGGAAGGATAAGAACAATGGTTGCTTTCATACCTTTAGCCAAACTAACACCTTGAAATAAATATCACAGGGGGGAATGTGTAAGTTGAGCAAAGTACTAAAGCACTTCATGAAAACTGATTTCTCAGTAATTTTTAGTGATTAATGTACAACCATGTCTTGAATGGTCCTGAAGAATGACTAGAAATTGGGTCATTCATAGAAATAGCTAACCAACATAAGTTAGAAGACAGCAAGTTGGGGTTGTGTATTGTTTGGGCTAATATTGTAGGATGTAAAATTATAATTCCTTTCAAGATAAATGTAGAGTATTACAAGTTCTTTGACAAGGTTGTTTTGGTATTAGTCACAATGAAGAAGCTTTGAAGTTAAAGAGAATGCTCTTTCAAAGTTGACCATTGCCCACCTTGCCCTAAAAAAAGTTTCAAAGATATCAAATTAATGGAATAGCTTCCAATTGAAAACTTGTTCCATTTTATATATATATATCTATAAAAATATGATTCCATCGCTACATAAGAGTTCTCATGTTTCTAAAGAACTTTGGATTATTTATCTAACGAGTTCTTTCCTATTTTCTATATATTTTTACACACACACATAAGAATAGGAAACTATATTCAAGCAAAGATATGGAAAGCAATGAAAACTACTGCAAGTGATGTTAAAGTTGAAATGATAGAAAAGTTAAACTTGATGGGCAAAAGAGTGATGAAGGTAATAAAATGTTAGAGCCCATATCAACAAAATAAAAATTCATGTTGCATTTAGTTTGCATAATGCCCCCCCCCAAAAAAAACCAAACCAAAAATGTATTGGTATTTTTAATAAAGAAAAACCTGAAACTTCTACTCTGAAAATTTGTAGGTTAGTACAAATCTTGTGAAAATATTGATTAGTATAATGAAATCTGAGATAGTGACTTTTGGTAAAAATTAAAAACAGATTTTTGTACAGTACATATAATGTACACAGGTCTTGTTTAAATAAGAGATATCTGAACTTTTTATTTGCAGTAACCTTAAGTTATCAATCTTGAAGCATTTGATAATTTTTAATAGGCACTTCAATATGTGCATGCACAATTCTTATGTAAACCAAACAACTTTATTTTTATATGCACACTTCAGTAGGCTCTTCTGAAAATAACAAAAATTAGTGTGCAAAATCTTGAAGTAACTGTATTATTACTCCTGGCCACTTATGGCTAAGACATTGGCTTAATCAGATTGCCTTCAGCCAGATCAATATAGTTGATTGTTAAAAAATTGTCATTAACCACTGAAACATTTTTCCTCCCCCTACCTTCTTCTCTTCTATTCTGTAATGCTATGAATTTTATTAAAAGTTTAGTCCTTTCAGTATTTATATTAGTAAAGTAGTTGAATTAGTCACTGTTTTTGTTTTTTATCACTTTGTATTGATATCTTGTTTCATTTTTGGCAATTACTAAAAGGGGGATCTGATTTGAAAAGAATACTAATTTATTTATTTTTTTTTTTTTTTTGTAGGGCTATCAAAGCTTACCAACAAGTATTGTATATAGAGCCAAGCTTTAGTCAAGCTAATGAAGTGCATCTGCGACTGGGGTTAATGTACAAAATTCTGAATAACTATGAATCCAGTCATAAGGTGAGTAAGAATGTATTTTTTTTTTCTCTTGCTTCTTTTAGAGGAATCTAAACTATTTTTATTGGATCATAAAAGTATAAATGAAAAAAATAAATTTTACATGAAATAATTTCAGAAACCAAATGAAACATACTATAATAAAATGATACATAAAAAATATAATGTAAATATGAAATTGAGCATGGTTCTTAGCTAATTCAAATAAAAAGTGTCCTGCATCATATAAAGATAGACCAAATTCCAGCTTTGCCAGGTTGGTTTCAGGTTTTCAACACCCTGAAATAAATAGATCTTGAAGCTCTGATTTAAGACTAAATCAGTTGGAAGGAATAATGTTAACTTTTCCTGACAGTTCACCAGCACACTCTTTAGTTTACAAACTATGCATTATACTCTTTGCGCATGAATGTTTGAACATATGTAATCCGGGTACAGAATTAATATTGACCCAAGAATGATAGAGCATTATTTTGGGACAACTGGTTAGCTTTTTGGGTACAATATCAAAACAATATAAAGTTTTAATTAAAAATCTATTATATTTATTCCAAAAGTAGCTGATATGTATATACTCGTGTATAAGTGGAATTCATATATACTGTGACCCATGAATTTTTTTTGCATGAATTTTAACACCTCCAGAAAAAATTTACCTGAGTAGAGTGCACCCTCTATACTTTGTGTAAAAGAACTGATCATAAAAACTTGCACTATACTTGTGTATATATGGTAATTTCTTAAAATAAAAAAAGAAAATTCTTCTTGCCAATAGTTGTACAATTTTAAATCATGCACTCAATGCTAAAGTTCTAATTTATAATATGGAGAATGAAACCTGAATGACTTAAGGACTTAAATTTAGATATTTGTATTATTTATTTCTAAATGTCAAAAACATTAGTATCTCATTGTAATAACTAAATTTGCTTTAATAAACAAAGTGAGAAAATTTATTTTTTCTATCAGCTTTTGAATGAACAAATTATGCATTATGCTTTCTATTTATGATAAACTAAGTTACAAGAGAATTTAAAAAAAATGGAAAATTTATAATGTAAATGAAAACTTTTTGAATCGATGGAATGTGCCAATATTCTTTATGTAGAAAATGAATGTATAGAACACAAATCTTTAAAGTATAGTAAAATTTACTCTAAGCATTAATTACTAAGAACGTTTTTGTGTAAAATTATTCAGGGTGATTTAACTAACATATTTAAATAAAAATAAAGTGATTTTATAAAAATTACTGTAAGCTTGAACTAGTTTTTGCGTTCATTTTTAAAACTTGAATATTTCACCTTTTTTCATTTTTATTACAATTTTGCATTGAAAACAAATGATTAAGGATTTGAATGTATCAAAATAAATATTTCCTTTTTAACTTTTATTTATTATTTTACTAAATGATGATAAAAATAAAAAAGAAACAAAACATTGATTTTCAGGATGAATTAGTTTGTCCGGAGCCTTTCCAAGTTTTAAAATTTATTTGTGGTTAAAGTTTTTCATCTATAATTTATAGATTTGATATAATACATTCTTCCAAGTCATGTTTGGTATTGCCACATTCTTTGTAGGATCTGTGAGATCAACTTTGCAAAACTGTAAAAGTTGATTTCACATGGCAGTAATATTCTTAGGTGTGATGGTTGGTGGTGTCCCTTCCCTCTAATGATAAATAGTTATCAAATTTAGTTATATGAAAATACAAAAATATGTGTAAGCTGACTTGGTCATGTAGCATTTGTTGAGTAACAGCCATATTTTCATATATTTGGATTTCTGCTGAATCACCTATAGCAACTTGGCAATAATTATGGTTTGGTTCTTTTCTGTTTTGTACAAAACATAAATTTTCTGTGTATGTCTACGCACACACAAGCAACCCAGGCTTTGTTGTTAATTATTTGAAACTTCCCTGTACACCATATTGGCAAACCTGGCGCTCACAGCCTAATGAGCTAAAAGGCAAAAATTGTTGCGTTTATTAATTCTAACTTGGTCTTAGGTCACTCTGTTTTATCTAATACACTGGGCACTTTTTATTATTTATTTAATGTTTTAGGGTGTCAAGCAGCATATAAGAAAAACATTACACACACAAGGGAGTACTAAAAATTCTTGGTCTGGCCTACTTCCCCAAATTCGACCATTTCCCCAGTCTCTTGGACATATATGTGTGTATATATATATATATATATATATATATATATATTTTTTTCTCCCCCCACCTCTTATAGGAACTTTTTACATAAAAGCAAAACAATCAAAATTTTTTTCTTTGCAGCACTTCCGCTTAGCTCTTCAAGATAATACCAAATGCACAGTTTCAAAAGCTGAAAGTAAGTTGAAAATGTTCTATAATTTTTGTAATGTAAAATCTACATTTATATTTGTGAGGTGAGTTTTTATATATATATATATATATATATATATATATATATATTTTTTTTTTTTTTTTCTTTTTTTGCATTGGTTTTAAGGTTTTTGTATCCCACATTGTTTCACCACCAGTTCAGTAAGATCATGTGATAAACTGAAGCAGTTAGGTTTTATATTAATTGCAGGAGATTTGTGGACCATGGAACTTTAACATTTTCAATGCATCTTTGAGTAAATTATATTCATATTTTATTAAACATCATTTTCAAAGTCAAATTGAAGTTTTTGATGGCATACAAATGCATTGAATGTGTTGTTTAATTTTACATCCCTTTTATGTTTGTATATTCTTTTTAAATTTTGAAATGCTTCTTCATTATGATTTTATTGGCATTGTTTATATTCTATTCGGTAGACTCCTGCTTCTTAAAAAGTTAGCTATCTGTTTTTACATTGATTAAATGCTTAATAGTTTAAGTGTTTCAATATTTTTATATTGAGATTAGCTAAATTCCTCTCAAACTCATTGGTTATGGAGTTTGTTATATGTACCAAATTTTTTGTTTTAAACATGCATATTCTCCTGTTCGTTTTTTTTGCTTGACATTATTTATGAAATAAATGGGATAAGTCTATTGACCGATATCCTTATTGTGCTTAAATCACATTAAGTGTGACCATTTCATAAACATTCATTAATCTGTGAATGTCTGCAGCTCTTTTGCCTAACTAATTCAATAACTAATCCTTGGTCACCCTGTCCATTGCATACATTTTATATCATTAAAAAATTGCTTGTCTGTTTTGTAAATTATTGAACTTTTGGCGTTAATTTTCAATTATTCAGCAAATCAGAACTCTTCAATAACCCTCCTGATGGATATTTAAATAGCACATGTAAACCAATATAACAAAGCTTAGTTGTGAACATATGTCTTAAGTTGTAAACAAAATTTAGTTGTTTTTCAAGTCATGGCAAATTTCATTTTTAATGCTATTTGCCATTTCATTATTTCCAGCTAATACTGAACTATTACTAAATGTAATAAAAGATATATCTGATGTAGTAGTCTAGCATACTACTAAAAAAATTCTTTCATGACAAGTAGAATTAGTTTCTCCAACAGTATGTGACTTTCCACATTTGGATATAATCTTTGAATTTTTATAGCATTGTTTTTTTTCTTTTCCTTTCTTTACTGTTTCTTTTTTTTTCTTTTCTTTCCTCTTTCTTTTCTTTCCTCTTTCTTTTCTTTCCTCTTTCTTTTCTTTCCTCTTTCTTTTCTTTCCTCTTTCTTTTCTTTCCTCTTTCTTTTCTTTCCTCTTTCTTTTCTTTCCTTTTCTTTCTTTCCTCTTTTTTTTTTCTCTTTTTCTGTCTTTGTCGTTTTTTTCTTCTTTTGTCTTTTTTTTTTGTCTTTGTCTTTTTTTTTTTTTTTTTCTGTCTTTTGTCTTTTTTTTTTTTTGTCTTTGTCTTTTTTTTTTTCTGTCTTTGTTTTTTTTTTTTTTTCTGTCTTTTTCTTTTTTTTTTTTACTGTCTTTGTCTTTTTTTTTTTTTTGTTTTTTTTTCTGTCTTTGTCTTTTTTTTTTTCTTTCTCTTTTTTTTTTTTTCTGTCTTTGTCTTTTTTTTTCTGTCTTTGTCGTTTTTTTTGTCTTTGTCTTTTTTTTTTTTGTCTTTGTCTTTTTTTTTTTCTGTCTTTGTCTTTTTTTTTTTCTGTCTTTGTCTTTTTTTTTTTCTGTCTTTGTCGTTTTTTCTGTCTTTGTCTTTTTTTTTTCTTTGTCTTTTTTTCTGTCTTTTTTTTTTTTTTTTTTTTCTGTCTTTTTTTCGTCTTTTTTTTTTCTGTCTTCTATTAATGTATCATAACTCTTATTGTTCATTCATATTGTTTCGCTGTTACTTCTCATTTTCTTAGTGTATATATATTTTTTATTTTAGGATTCTGTAATAAAATAAGGGACAACACAATTTAAGCAAACATAAAACTCAAAACAGGTGTAGTAGTAGTGTATAAACAGAAATAACAGATCTATTATTTTAATAAAGTAAGCAGAAAGCAAACATGCAATTTAAGTGTTCTACCCCTAGCAGAAAATTGAATGTCCATAAACCTTTTTTTGGGTAAAACAGCTCACATTTCAAGCATTTCTCAACACAACACTGGGTAACAAACAATGAGACAAAAAGTTTCTCCTATAAGTTTTGTCTCTTAGTACTGCCAACAACCATTAGTCCTAATGTGGGGTAATCAGTTTAGTCCTCAGTTTCTTCAACCCAACCTTTCATTTCAAGCCTATTCAGCGCTGACTTCTTTGTTTCTATATTGGATTCTATAGCAGAACAACTTATTTCACTTCTTTTATTGTTATGTGTAATAATTTATTTCAGCAGTCATTTTTGTTCATTATGATTTTGAATTTTAAACATCTTCTTTTTGTTCCTGTGTGAACCCTGCAAATAGACCACCAATTTTTATTTTTATTCTTTTTAAGTCTCAAATATTAACTGGTACTTTACTTTACCATGACTCTCATATTTTGAAAATTAATTTATTTTATTTATTTATCTATTTTTTTTTTTTTTTTTTTTTTTTACAGTTCGTCTACATATAGCTCATTTGTTCCAAGTGCAGGTTAGTAATATAACCATTATTGAAACTCTTAGTCTTAATAGTCTAATCCTATTGATTTGGTTATATTTTTACTTTTACATTTTTCCAATTAGATGTTGCATTTAAATGTTGATAATTACTGTGTGCAGTGCAATTTGACAAATGCAAAAATATATATTGAGTTGATATATTAGTTTTTTTCAGAAGCAAATCTGATAAAATATAGACATTAAAGTATTCATATTTTGTAACTTTCTAATTTGTTGGCAGAAAATTATGAGAATATTGATTTAATGATTTTTCTTTGTTTGGTATATAATGAAAATTTAATACTTTCTTTGAGAGTATATATCATTTTTGCTTTTAAAATCTTTGAGCATAACATGATTTTGGTATATTTATATTAGGGCAAATATAAACAGTCAAAGGAAGCATATGAACAATTTCTTTTACCTGAAGACATTGATGACAAAATAAAAGCCATTGCCTACAGGCAACTTGGTAAGTATTTGTGAGGAAAAAATGTTTCACTTTTGTTAGACAATATTGTCATCATCATTGTCTGATACACTTCCAGCATTTAGTTCAACATTTAATGATCAGTGATCTAATTATTTGTCCACTTATATTTTCAATTTTAATATAATTACTGCTATATATTTGCTAAATTCTACATTAATACATTTTTAAATATTTAAATAGTTTTCATAAAGAGTTGAAAACTGCAGCAAGAATTTTGAGAGTCAATATTTAGTGTATAATTTTATTTGGCAACTACTTCAGTAGTTTGTCTACTTGAATTTTCTTGGAATGAAATGTTATATTTTGTGACACAGTTTAAGGAATACTGAAAAATGGAAGTTATTTAATTGAAATAGGATCTTAAATATATTTGTAAGATATTGCATATCATAACTTGAATTTTAGCAGAATCAGTTTATGTTGACAATCATGATTTGATATTTGTTTATAAAAAATCTGTTAAATTATTAAAGCAAGTGTTACTGTATCAAAAATGAAGAAAACCTTTAAGTGTACTGAACTTTGTTGATAGACTGTGGCTCATTGCTAACACAAGAAAAAATAAATGATACTTCTATTTTCCTGAAAAACAAAGTTGTATAATTTAAATTTTATTAATACAAATATTGATTCGGAATTATGCTAAGCACCTGGCACAAATAACATAACAAATATCATTACATATATATTAAGTTTAGTGATAGGTCTCTTTATTTTTATCAAATTCATACTATAATTAAATAGGGAAACTGTTCTATGAGTAACCTTTATGCTGATCCCACCTTCAACATCATTAAGTTATAAATTGGACTGGAAATTGCTTTGTCGTTCTAGGTTATGCAAAATTAACATGCTCTAATACAAATCTCACTATGTTGTGCCATTTTTGCTGTATTATGGTGACAAACATACTCACAAACAGGAATCAGATCATTGGCATTTCTTAGGAGTGACTTGAATGATAGTAAATTGATCACTAAACAATGTTTTTATTGTTTTTTTTTTTATATACAACATATTAATATTTTTTTCAAACATTAAAAAATCATTATTTTGCATTAAAAACTTGATTAAAAGATATAAAATATTTTTTCTTGCCTTGACAAGTTATCTATACTTCAGTAAAAAAAAAAAAAAAAAAAAATCCATTTTTCTTGAATGAAATAAAGATTTTGTTTTTAAAATTTCATATTTTAAAATCTATTTTTAAAATTTTAGGTTGGTTATTTCATACTGCAGAACAGCTAGGAGACAAAAGTACTCGTGAACCAGTGGCTATTCATTATTTGCATAAATCAATTGAGCTTGATTCTTCAAATGGCCAGACTTGGTACCTCTTAGGCAGGTAAGACCGAAAAATTTAATGTTTAAACTTTTCATTCCTTTTAATAATTTTATCAAGTATATCTGATTTTTTTTTTTTTTTGTAGATAGCCAGCATATATATATATAATCTCAATAAAAGGCAGGATGTGTGTCTGTGTAACGAATGCAATTTTTGATGGATTTGCACCAAAATTTACATACACATGCTCCAAGTTAGCGGGAAAGCCAAGACCCACTTTGCATTTCCCAACTCCCATCGATAGTGGAAATAATCGATTTTTTTTCATGCTTCTACGGCAGTTTTCATGTAGTTTGCGGCCATTTTCTACTGGCCAGAGTGAGAGCTTATAGCTGGCTCCCACGAATAGGTAGGAAGATTCTATTGGCCAGCGTGAGAGCCAACAGCTGACTGACATGAATGTTTGCTAGCATGCAAAAAAAAAATCGATAGCTGATTCCGCAGAACTGGGTTGGGTGTGAAAAAGTATTTAAGATTCTTTTTTCATTCGGTTTTTCCAGTTACGAGTCCTTTTTTAAAGCTGATCGTTTTGTGTTCATTTTGTTTAGTTCTTTTTTCCTAACAGATTTAATGTTCAGAGCTTAGAAAAAAATCGCAGTGTGAGATCGGCAAGAAGTAAGGCATGTAGCAACATCAGCACAGCAAAGGGCACTCCTTTAAAGGCAAGGAAGGGCAAAAATATTTTAAGTGATGGTGATTGCTGTAGGAGTCATACAATTTTTGAATCAAGCATGGGCAACGCTGCGAGTGTGTGTGTGTGTGTATATATATATATATATATATATATATATATATATATATATATATATACTTTGAGTATCAACATAATCTGAAGCTTTTATAAATTCCTAATTCAGATATATTGTTGTTTGACATTTTCTTAATATTTGACATTCATTTTGAATATGAGATACAATGATTTTTGTTATTATTACATATTGTATCATTTCTCATTTGCAACAGTTTTATGTTGTCAATTATGTATGCACAAAGTCTGTTATAGCTATAGTTAAAATCTAAAGGTACAAATTTATGAAACCATTATGAAATGAATGACATTAATGTAAAAGCAGTCTTCCATTTCTTGTCTCATTCACTATTTTGGCTAAAGGCTTAAAGAACTACAAGTCTTCTCAGTATCTTTCTATCTATAATCTTTTATCTTAAGCTAGATTGTTTTTCCTCAATGAATATAAGACTACATATTTAGTCCCTTCCCATCAAATGAACTTATTACTTTGCAGCACTTCTATTCTGTTTTAACTTTTTTCAGCATTTTTATAGAATGCAAATTCTTTTCTATATTTTAGGTTCTTAAAGATTGAGGTTTTAGGATATTCAAAAGAATTTTAATGTCTTTAATATTTTTGCTTTTTTTAATATTATTTATAATTTTATTATTTTAGGTGCCTCTCTAGCATAGGGAGAGTGCATGATGCATTTATCCATTACCGCCACTCCAAGGATAAATGGGAGGCAAATGCTGACACATGGTGCTCTATAGGGTAAGCTATTAGCATAAGATGAACTTTTGAATTAAGTTTTGTCTTTAATGAGATTTTCTAAATAATCACTTTAGAAATGAACATAATGAACAAACTAACAGGATATGACTTATTAGAGTTAGACCTTTATGCTCAATTTTATATCTTTCAATAAAAAGATTCACATAATTAGTTTATGCTCATTTTTTCATCCTTTTATAGATTTAAAAAGAAATTAAAATGATATTTGTTTCCAAATATGGAATTTAAATATAAAAAGGTTTTGAGCATGTACTCAAATTAGTTTTTTTTTTTTTTTTGTATCAGTTCCACTATACCATTTTCCCCTGAAGTGATATTGACTAATGAACAGAAGCTATGGAAAAACTTTTCCTCTTCACTATGATTACAGAGTACTGTATCAGCAGCAGAACCAGCCTATGGACGCTCTGCAAGCCTACATCTGTGCAGTGCAGCTGGATCGCACTCACACGGCAGCATGGACTGATCTAGGCATCCTGTATGAGACGTGCAATCAGCCCAGAGACGCACTCACCTGCTACATTAATGCTACCAGTAACAAAGGTAAATTATAATCCTAATGTAGGTATTTTAATTTGTTCTCAATGTTTGGTGGTGGAGAAATCATTATGGCAATTTTCAGACTTGAAATACAAATTTCTCTTTCTTGCACATGCACAGATGCAGAGTCTCTCTCTCTCTCTCTCTCTCTCTCTCTCACACACACACAAAATTGTTCTAAAAGTAATGCCTCATTTTATTATGTTAAGCATATGATGTCAGAATTGGTAGTGTAATAAATATTGAACTTTCCTGACAATAAACTGACATTTTTGCGATGAATGTCGTACAGCTATCAGTCTAGCAAAATGGCATTTAACATGTAAGTATGAGCATGTAGCAGAGGTATGTCATTCAATTCTTCCATTTGGAAAGAATTTCACTCGTTCGCTGAATATCTAGGGACACCAAACTGTGGACATGAACACAGACAGTGATTAATTTGTCTCAGCACTTGTGACAAGCTATATTCTGGGTAGCACTGGACAGCTGTCAAGCTATGAAATGAAAAGTGTTTTGAGGTTTAACCAATAAAGGTGACTGTGACAAAATAGATAGTAAAAAACAATGGTGGTATTTTGTGCTCTCCACCATTTGTAGTTTCTGTGAAAAAAAAAAAAATGATTTAATTTGGAACATCTTGATTTGATCATGGTGTACAAATCAGTGGTAATTTCCTCTTGTGTGGTTGCAAGATCTGGATATCAGGATGATGAATTCCACCAAAGAATGCTCTGCTCTATCTTGAACATCAGCTAGGAAAAAATATGTACTGAACATAGAGGTGCTCAAAACAAACAGCTGGAAATTAAAGAGCATGATACTTGTCACTGGCATCTAATACCATGATTACCCAAAGCATCAGTAGAAATACAAAGTACAGGTTGGTTAGGTTGGGATATATGACATCTTGTGATCTATGGACTTTTTTTTTTTTTTTTTTAAACCCTGAATTTTATCATCTATGAATGACAGTGAAATGCTAAATGTTCTTTCCATGCTATTGATAAAAATGAATAATTTGAGATTTAAATAAAGATTTACAATAAATATATTGAATTTTCCTCTATATTTTTTTTACTTTGATATATTTTGGTCCTTTAATAAACAACTCTGCTAAAATAATTAGCACCTATGCAGTAATAAATATAAAAGTTTGTTGAAACTCTTGATAGTAGTCACTGTAGATAACATTTGAGAAAAAAATTGTGTGTATCTATGAATATAACATGTTAAATTGTACAAAACTTGTGGCTTTAATCTTTCAAATATACTCCAAATTAAAAAAAAAATATATATATATTTAACAACAGCAAATTTGGTAAACTTTTATATTTTTCTTCTTAAAAAGACTGATTCATCAGTGATTGAAAAGGAGAAAGTTTCTTTTGTATGAATTCTAATTTTTTTTTAAAGCTGAAATTTTTTTTAGTTTTGTGAATAAATATATATATATATATATATATATATACATAAACAGTTCTCGCACACAAAAAATTAAAAAATATATTCCCTTTTCTTTCCTCCCAGCTTCAGTAAATCCTAACTTAGCCGCTAAGATTAAGTTTTTGCAGCAACATCTTGTTAATATACCTATTCAGCACTTGCAAAACCGGTAAGTAGACAGTAGCTAATTCTGATACTATGAATTTGTAATCAGTCATTTTTTTTTTTTTTTCCAATAAATCTTTTAATGGAGTTGTCCATAATAAGAACTGTGGCCAGAAATAACCTTTTTATTTATTTTTTTCTGCCATGTCACTGTAGATTAAGCACTCGAAATAAATATCTATAAAGAAAAAAAAAAAAAAATTAAATTTTAGAAAAAGTTAATAGGGGCTCAGTTTGCCATGTAAATTCATTCTGATTTGAAACCAAATCATGAATATTTTGGCTTCCAAAATACTCATGATTTCTTTAAATGTAAAAAAAAGAAAAATAAATTCACTCTGGAGTACATTTTTCATGTATTAATGATTAAGCACTCTAGATTATGAATTTCAATTTTTTATTTTTTTTGCATTTAGTGATTTTATAACATGTTATGATTCTCAAATAAATTATATATTGTGCACCAATGTAATATCTCATCCATTGAGGATCCAGATGAAGTTAGTCTACATTGGATGCACAAGGCATGAGTTCAAGAAGCATTTTAACCACCATCAAAGTTCTTTTAAAATATGTAAATACCAGAATCAAATGTACCTATACTTCTGGCACTTAAAAGAAACCAATAAAACACCTACTGTAAAATGGAAATTACTAAGAATAGCTAGAATTTGTAGGTCATTAAATGACCCGTGTACTTTGTGCATACATGAAAAATTATATATTAAGTTTATGAAAAAATAAAAATTTGCTTAATCAAACAAATGAAATAGCTATTTTCTGCAGACACTGTCAAAGATTTTCCTTAAATAATAACTGAATATAATAAAAAAAATAAAAAAATACATATTTAAACTTGATCTTTTGAATAATAATTTTTAAATAAGTAATAGTTATAAAAAGTAGAGATAATACTTTAAAATTGAAGGAATAGATTTTACATATTAAAAATACGACATGCTCATATTCAAACAATTCTTTTGAGAAAATCTTTGTGTATAAAATTAGAAATTAAACAGCAAAATAAAAATGCCAAAAAAACTGTCAATAAAAAAAATACACAGATGACATGCGAAAAAAGGATGTCATCATTTGTTGAACAGGCACTCCTACCCTACCTTAACATAACCTGATTTTGAGAGTAGCTTAGATTTGATACAGAGGTTGTCGATGGAAATGAATACCCTACCATCCCTTATTAATGATTTAAAATTTTCCTGTAAACTCGACAACTAATAATATCGAGATTGTTTGTGCTTATAAACCTAGTAAATTTCAAAATAAGTTATTCATTCCAGAAATCACTTGAGAATGAATGCGATAAAGATTTTAAATTTAATTCTATAATTAAATTTAAAGTTTAGTTTCTGTCTTTGAAACATGGTAATTCCTGTGTAGCAATGGAACCATATTTTTAAATTAGTAAATTTATGTTTACGCTCTACTGAATTGTATTGAGCACTGTTTTTTAAAAATAAAAATAATTAATAAGAAAACCCCATTATAAATCTTACTCTTCTTTCTCATTATTTATTTATTTATATAATATAAATAAATATATATACACATGCACACAACCCTTATCAAGCTTAACCCTTTGTGATATTTAAAACCAAAATATTGGATTGTAAGAATAATTCATTTTTGCAATAAATATTGCATTAACAATTTTTGAGAATAACAATGATTTTTACAGATACAAGACTTGCTATTTGACCCATAGATGGGGGAGGAGAGGGATTGAAAAGTATTTCCAGGAGTATTTGTGCATAAGTGCAAGAGTATTTGTGTGTAAGTGAATGTAAAGAACCTGACTGGAATTCAAATTTGACTCTCCAATTTCTCATTCTGAGGTGCTAATCTATTACACCACCATACATCCACTTTATATTTTTATGAAACTTGATACATGAGCATACTTGTTTTGGCTTTTGTAGTGGGATCAATTTACTTACAATGAATTTACATAGCAAACTATTAACTTTTATAAATTTGGTTAAAAAAAAAAAAAAAAATCAGTATTTGGACAGCTTAATCTAGTGATATGGAAAAAAATTTTAGAAAATGATTCTAGTTGCAGTGCATCACATTTCATAACCATCAAAAATTCTGTAATAGCTTTTGCATGAATACCTATATTATAGTTAGATATTTAAGAATATATCTTGGGATAGACTATCCTAAGTTTTATTAAATAATAATTAAAAAGCTCTAATTGGCTTTGAATTTTATATAGGAATCTTTTCTCTTATAGCATTGTATTTTTTCATTTAATATATACTTTTCTGATGTGCAAGAAAAATAGCATCATTATATGTAAGGAGTAACCTGCTAAACATTTAATATCACCTGCAAATCTTTACATATTTATGAAAGCCTGTTCTTTGAAAGTTAATCAATATCCATTGTCATTAAATATACATATCTTTTGAGAGTGATTTTGATTTTAGAAATATTTGAGAAATTAGTTAAACAAAAAGATCAAAATACTGTCTTGAGTTTAAAAAGGAAAACAAAATCCTTTTTGAGATTATTTTTTATATTTCAGTGAATGATTAAGTGGGTTAGTTGAACTAATTATCTTAGTATAAGTGATATATAAATTTAAAATTTTAATGTTTTGCTAATTGATTTAAAATTAATCTACCTTTGCCTTAACTTTTTTGCTGGTTTGAAAGCATAATTTTTTTTCTTCCTGTCTCCCTTTGCTTTCAGGCCTAAAGCATTGCCTAGCTTAGAAGAGGCTTGGAGTTTGCCCATTCCTGCTGAGCTTATTTCCCGCCAAGCTGCCAACTCTGCTGCCAATCAGCAGCAGCAGGTTTGTACTTGGTTTTACTGATTTTGTTACAAAATTTCCCCATCAATGGTTCATGTTTGCAACAGAAATTGGATTAAAGCAATATAAAATAATCTTTAAAATGTATAACTTTGTTTTTAAATTGGTCACATTCCCAAATTCTATTGCTTGTTTAAAAAGTTATAGAAGAAAAATCATTTTTTTTTTTTTTTTTTTTTAATATCAAGAAAATACACATTTCAAGAATTTCTAGATAATACAGCTAAAAATATCAGATCATTAAAATTCATGAAAACTTTGTTTTTTACAATCCAAATTTTGACATCTTAACTCTACATTACTGGTTTGTAAATTTGTCTTTTATCTAATGTAAAGACTTAGCAGTAAGTATTCAGATATGATTATATAATATTCTAGCCTAGTAAAGAATGACAAAAATAATGAGGTTTTAGAAGGTATTCTTTGATTGCTTAGGTCATTGAGAATATTTTACTTTGATAATAGTTACTTATGAAACTTAATTTTTGGGTCTTGAATGTCATCAATGATCTGTTTTCAATCCTATCTAATTTTTGAATTCTCAATATATATGCAAATGTATAAATTTGTTAGCTCAATGTTTTTCTATTGCTACTGACTTAATGTTGAACTTGTAAATCTTAATGAACTGGTCCTTTCAGTTTTGTCAAAAACTCAGTTAATGCATATTTTTATTTTAGCAGCAGCAACATCAGGTGTCTGGGTGTGTATCTACATCTGACCACACCACACAGCCTAACACAGTGTTGATCACTTCCCAGACAGAGACTGCCATGGATATTGATCCCAATTCATCTGCTGCCCAACCTAAAAAGAAAAAGACTGCTGTCTCGCCTGCCTCACGAAAGAGGGTAAATAAATTTTTGTACTTCAGTATAAAGCATATGTTGTCTTAAATATTTGTTCAAATAATTATTCATTGTTAGACTTACTTGATTTTAATTGACAAAATTACATAGCTGCAGTTAAGGTGTTTAATGTTTGCAAAGGTGAAAATAAGTTCAGCAGGAATGGGCAAACTCCAAGCCTCTTCTAAGCTAGGCAATGCTTTAGGCCTGAAACAACAAATAAAATTTTACTCAGCTAAGTGATGCTTTACTAAACAAAATCAAAAACACTGATGCCAAATATTTGCTCAGAATTGTTCCAATTTACAAGTTTCTTAAAATACATGTATTTATGTTAAAGGCAAATAGTATATTAGTAAGTAATGCATTTATGTTCAAGGAAAATTTATATTTTGATAGGATATGTCTAAATAAATATAAAATACTTTGTGTAATGTCTTCAGAAATGTTTGAGACACTTGCTCTTGTGCATTGAATTTTTCTCTTGAAAGAACCAACAGTAATCACCATATTTAGGTTGAAGCAGCCTTTGATTCCATCTTGGATATTTGTTAATGACGCTCTTTACAATGCTCATACAGCACTAAGATCTGTTGGAAAAAATGCAGGAAGTGCTTTTTAAGAGACTTCTAGTATCCCATTCTATCAGTATGTTTATTAAAGTAGCAATTTCCAGCCCTGTGTAGGCAAAGAAAATTTTGCACAACTAATATGAATAAATCCCATGTAAACTCCCTGCCACCAGTTCAAGTGGATACTAATATATTATCAAAGTTTACCATGAACAAAATCAGCATACTTGATTGAGTCTTGTACATAGCCCCATTTGTCTGCTTCCCATTTGTCAGACAAATTCCCCTCTTCTCTTCATGTGCGTAATGCAGAATACTGCTAGAGTATTCTGAGTATGGTTTCAGAATTGGCATACTCGATTTAGTCTAAAATTATTTTTAGCCCAGTTGTAAAATCTTTGTTCCCCTCTATTTGGAAGAAAATTTTATAATTCATTCTGTTCTCCATCAATATATTATTGGGCTCTGTAAAAGATAGTTAAAAATACAGATTTAATGACTAAGGAATAAAACAATGTATCTTACCAAAGTCATTCTTGGTTACACTTTCAAAATAGAAAACATTACTTAACTAAATTCAAAATTTTTCCTTCGTGTTGTTCCATAGAATTAAGTGTTAGTCAACCTATCTCTCAGGTCTTAGGTTGGCACTAATATATATATATATATATATATATATATATATATATAAAAATAACTAGTATTTTAACTTCTGGCTTTTAACTTTTTTCAAGTATATTGTAATTGCTTCAAAATCTTTTCATTTTCATAAAATCTTTTTTGTATGTAAAAATCTATTATAGCTTTATAGTTCAAATTTTCTTAACTATTTCAGGCAAAGATAATTTTGATGTCATATTGGCAAAATATCTCTACAGCTGCTTCAGAATAATCATTGTTTTCACTAACTTCATCATTATCTATGAATTTTCTTGAATCATTACACACTTTGCTGTCAGAGTAAGAAAACTTAGAGCAAAGAAATTTCTCACTAAATATATTAGTTAGTCCCAAGTGGTTAAAGAAAAATTACCTAATTCTTATAAAGTTAATTATGGAAATTAGAAAATAGATTACAAGCACACATCATCTGTGCTTCTTGATTAGAATTTCAATTTTTAGCAATATAACTAATATATTTTCAAATAAATTCTAACAATTGATTACTATTTTTTTAATACCCACCAACCCAGATGGGCCCAGGTGATGGATTTTCTGTCCAGAGACAGCCACCATTTCCTGCAAACACTGCCAGTGGTCCTCAGCCTTTTACTCTGGGGAACACCAATACAAACACTGCCAAGGATGTAACTGCCAATTTGTTTAAGTGTCCCATCCCAGTCAGCAATGGAACTTCTACTAATATGATCTCCAGCAGTGGTGGAGGTAATGGACAGCTACCTCCATCATCCCAGCAGCAGCAGATTGGAATGGTTCCAGGCGGACTTTCTCAATCCCAGCTACCTCAGCCCCGGAACATTCCATTATCATCATCGAACACTCAGGGTACCATCACAAAACCTGGTTCATCAATGTCACCGACTTCAGTATCACCAAATAGCTTGGGTTTTACAAGTGGAACACAACCAATTGGGGGAAATATAGCAGGGGGGTTTATAAAATCTACATCGGGCAACATCTCATCTTCATCTTCACAGATCTCAGACCGCACAGTAGGTAAAGACTGTGTTGGCACTGGACAAAATGTTAGCGATCAAGAGTTAGCAGCATTGCTTCAAACTTCTATAACAGATGACCTGTTAGCACATATCACACAAGGAAGCAACAGCAGTCAAAGCCATGACAAAAAAGCCCCCACAGAAGGTTCATCAAAACAGCAAAGCATTTATGTAAATATGCCTTCCACAACTGAAGCAATCAGCAGTGCTGCTGTCGGAAACACTGCCATTTCTTCCAATAGCACATCCAATCTGCCACATTCCAGATCTCAGGTTCATCTAACACAAGGCAGGACTAAAAACCCCGGCATGGTAGGGACACAAAATAGTGATAAAAATACACAAGAACCTAATTCTACCAAAAGTGAGCCTGTTGTTAATCTAAATACAAAGGCTGAATCCCGATTGCTGTGCCGTTATCTAAATCCTCCAAAATCTGCCTTAAAATTATCGATACACATGTCAGCTAGAGAGGTCTTAGAAGCATGTAAGGGCTTGGGTAAGTATTAATTCTCTTTTACTTTCCTTTTTTATCTCTGTTGTAAAATATAAGTTATGTGCAGTTCCCATAATTGGTATTCTTGAAGAAAGGAATGCATCTCTTTTTGATTTTGCACAAGTCCATAAAAACAGTATTTGTTGTGAGCTTAATTGACTGTTTTTTGAGTAAAAATTTTAGTGACAATAGATATAGAAACTTTGTATCATGTCACCCATAAGAATGGTTGCTTGCTAGAATTTTTTTTCTTTCAAAATTATCAATTATTGTGATGAGGTTTCTTTCTGATTTTGAGGATTGGAAAAGAACCAGTTTGTATTCTTTTTTCTTTGCGACATCATCATCTTTTCCCACCTTTTTATAGGATATTTTTTCAAGGTCTCTTTTGTAAAATGTCTTTTTAGCATTGATCCTTCTACCTCACCACCATTGATGGGTGTTTTCCTATCTAAATAATTTTGTAATGGCAAGAATAAATGAAAATTGGAAGGTGCTAAGTCTGTTTTTAAAAAAAAAAAAATATTGGGAATGGCTCAGCAGTACTTGCCCTAAATTTGCCATTCAGGGGAGTAATAAAGAAGCATGTGGCTTCATAGTGTTATGCTGGTGAATGACACCTGTTTACAAGGGTTAGTCATGTTTTGATTTTCCAATCAAGCTTATCCAGTTGTAGCATTTTTTGGAGAAGCAGCTCAAAGTGAATGGATCCCTTTATAATCCATATATAGTGTACAACTTTTGGGTGTAATAAGTTGAGGATATTTGTTGGTCAAGCAGGCAAACTATTGAGGCAATGCAGCAGGACAAATGGTGTCATAATCTAGGTAATTTTTATTTTTTTATATACAATTCATGAGGTAACCATCATGTACTTAACAAATCCAGGTTCCTTGATATGATTAGAAACAATTTACCGGACTACATGAAAGTCCTTGGCTTTACTTGAAGTGGTTAAAGAAGGATCCTTCATCACAATATTGTCTATGATGTCATCACCAAACACTGAAGGCCATCCAGTGTGTGATTTAAAATTGCTAGGTTGGAATTTTCTGAACCAGTTTCTGCAGATTATTTCAAACACTGCATGATCTCTGAACACTGCTTTATTTCTGGAAACACTTCAAACACTTGATCACCAAAACACTTGTAAAGAATATTAGCATAAATTAACTTTTTTCCTGTGACATTTTGGGAGTTGAAGTACATGAATTTGAAAAAAGAAGAATTAAATCAATTTTCAGTCATATTTCATTATCAATGCAAAAAAATAGCAAGAATGATAGACACCTGCTAATTCTTATATAAACACTCCATTAAAAACATATTAAAAACAAAAAGAACTTTCTGGTAGATCTAATACAGTGATTCTTTTAAACTTACATCTTTTTTATTCCGTCCCCAAGTGTATCATATCTGATAAATTTCAGGGAATGGTTAATGAAACTTATTTTTTCCAGTAGAGTGTTCTTATATATTTTGCTTTTATAGGAATTTCAATTTTTATAACTCATTTTTCTCTCTATTTTGTTGCTCTGCTTTCTCTAGGGATTTTTAAGTTTGGTTGGAGTAAATCAGTTCAATTAAGAAAGTAGATCATCAGCACATTTGAAGTGACAGTTACTAAATCTGAAATTTTGTAAATGGATATCAGACACATTAAGAGGGAATTTTGTTCTTGTGAATATATATATGAAAAGGTTCTTGAAGAGTGTAAAATGTATAAACTCTCTGAGATGGGGAAAAGGATGTTGACAGTTTATTTTAACACTTTGATTGTTTGTAAATGTACTTATATTGGCTAGCTAAATAAAATTTTCTTCATTTTATTAAATAAATTTTTTTTTTTTTTTGATAATTTTTACCATCTTTAAAACAACTTCATAATTTCAACCTCCAAGAACTTTTCTTTCTCAGTGAAAAAAACCCAAAAAAACTGCTTTTGGTGCATTTTGCAGTCTCTCAAAAATGGAAACTTTCTTTTATTAAGTGAATTCTGTAAAGAATGGTAATCAAATTAAGGAAATTAAAGATGGAGTATTTTATAGCAGACTACTAAATATTTCTTAGTCAAGTCATAATAATTGTTACCAAAAACACATGCAGTCCAGTATTATCTTGAAGAAATATTGTGCCCATTATTTAATTCTGGATGAATTTCATTCATTAATTGCTGCTTAACTAGATCTAATTTAGAGCAGTATTTGTTCAAATCACTCTCTGATATGACAACTGTCACTATCCAATCAAAAGTAATCTTTATTTTCTAATGTAGCTAGTTAAAATTAAATTCTCCAAGTGCTGTCTAATGACAAAAACCTTTTTGGTTACAGTATTTTTATTTTGAACAAATGAGTTTACAAAATACACTAGGTACTAATGTATTTAAATAGCATTAAGTTCAGTTTTAGGTTAAAATCTAACATATGTCTATTTGTATATACATATTTCATTTAATAAAAAGTTATTCTGCAACAAGAAAAAATTAAGAAATACATTTTTATTTTTTAAGGTGTATGATAAGGCTTTTAAGTAAAAAAAGGTTATTAGAGCTGAGGGTTGTTTTGCATTCTTAAAAATGTCTTTTCTTTTTTATTTTAAAAGTCATTTCAAACAGTTCAAGTAATCATTTTATTGTCCTGTAGGTCGGAATGGTGTCACATCACATTTCCTGGATGAACGTCCACCTCGGCCTGCTTCACCTCCATATCCACCACTGCCAAAGGAATCTCTTAACCCTCCTACACCAAGTGTTTATGTAACTAGTTTGAAATGCTTTGTTTTTCAATAGTTTTATTGCATATTATATGTGAAAAATAACTTTAAAAGGCAATATACATGAATCAAAATAAATATCTTAAAAATTGTTTTGTGTTAAAAAAAATGTTATTTTAAAAAATTTACATTATTTACATTATTCGAACTATTGTCCTCATCTTTGTCGCCATATATATTATGTTTCGGCCGTTGTACGCTCCGGCCTTCTTCAGGTGGTTGGAATGTCGAACTTAACCCTTTATTTCACTCACTGGAGTAGACTATTCTAGTTCCACATGCCATGTTTAATGGATGTCAGTTATCAGTTATCTCCTGTTAATTTCCCTCTGAAAGTTCTCCACTGACTTAACTGGCTATTGAACTCACACTCTTTGGGTCCTGTCACTGGATCTAACCAACGCCTTTATCCACTGTGCCTCAAGGACACATGGCACAGTGAAATAAAGGGTTAAGATCGATATTCCAACCACCTGAAGAAGGTCGGAGCGTACAACGGCCGAAACATTGTAATAAATATGGTGACAAAGATGAGGACAATAGTCCGAATAATGTAAAAAATTGTCATTCATATAAAATATTATTCACTATTATAATTTTGATTATAAAGAATTGTTTGAACATCTTGGAGCTGGTTTTTGAAAAATAAAAATTAAAGACTAGTAAATATCTAGAAAAATAATAGGAATTTAGAAAATGGATTATATGCTTAAATAGTGAAAGTATTTTTATTCTCTTTTAATTAGCTTGAAAGCAAGCGGGACGCGTTTTCTCCTGAGCTACAACAGTACTGTTACACACAACCTGTTGTTGTTATACGAGGTCTGGCTGGGGCTCTCAAATTAGGTATGTTCTTTGTATTGAATGTAATTTCTCCCTTCATGTTGCTATTTAATACATGATATATTTGTTTTTGATTATGAGGAAAAAAGAAAAGTTAGTTCCATTATCTAATATATGTATTTACAAATGTACATAAGTATTTTATATTGCCTAACTGAACATACATTGTAATCTTTCCTCATTTTATTTAAAGTTAGCTTTTGCTAGATGAGTTCTCTGCATCATTACATGAGATTTAAATTATTTTAACTCAGATATACAAAACATAACATTTGCCTATTTTAAAACTTTTTTTTTTCACAAGTTTAGTTTTTATTTTCTTCCAATTATTATTTATAAGCTAACTATAAGCTATAAATATTATTTATAAGTAATCTGATATTTAATTTCATAACAAAAACTTTGTTTTATTTCTCTCCAGATCTTGGTTTATTTTCAACCAAATCTTTGGTTGAGGCAAATGCAGACCACCGAGTAGAAGTAAGAACACAGGTAGGAACAAAGCATTTGAAGGATTTTCTATTTATTCATTACTAGCAGTAGAGCCCAGCGTTGCACGGGGATGTAATAGTTAGAGATAGATCAAGTATCAACCATAAAAATAAAATTGACAAAGATTATTGTTTAAGGTTGGTGGACACGCATGTCTTAATTAGTTTTTTTGTTTTTTACGAATTGGTCAAACTCAAACAAAAGCATTGTTTTCAATCGTTATGAGTCTACCAATTGAATAGAATTTTATTATAAACAATTGTCTTGTAAATGGGATTTTTAAAGCATTCTGAATGTAAAAATAAAGAAAAAAGTGTGCAAGACAATAAGAAACACTACCTGCAAAAAAAAAAAAAAAGAAAAAAAAGTGTTTTGTTGAAATCAGTTGAAAAATGTAGGAAATCCGATCCCATATATAAATGAACACAGACATACACTCACAAACAACCTGGGTTTTATAAGTATAACTCAATATGAGTTGTCCCCCTTCCATTCTCGACAGCGATGCCTCTTAATCATGTTTTCAAATTGATTTCATGCAAAAACAATTGTTTTTCCAATTTTTGGCGCTGTCAGAACCACCGCAAGGTAATTTTACGTAGTCCTGTGAAGTTTTGTTGAAAATATATAAACGAAACACACACACACACAACCTGGGTTTTATAAGTATGATTATTTGCTCAGAAATGTCATTGAGTGTATTTTACTAATTAAAAAAATATTTGTGAAAAATATTGTCAGCATTTTACAAATTTTGTCACTGTGTACTTATTTTTATATTTGTTAGTTATCTAACAAATCTATCTAGTGTAATCCCTAGTCCCACAAGCTTAAATGCTACCAAGATGATAAATTAGTGAATTCATTTTCATAATTCTAATTATCATTTATTGATAGTTTTGATATAACAGTGTTTATGATGGCACAGGTTTAATACTATTTTTGTCTTTCACTCTAGACTTTTTTGAGACAACAGCCTCTATATAAGATATAGTTTTGATTCATATATTTTATGTATTACTTGTTTATTTACAATATGCTCTAAAATTTTGCATTAAAAAAGTGAATGTTTTACATTTATCTTGAATGTAAAGGTCTTCAGCCAGCATTCAACTTCATTGAGTAAAGAAATTTCTTTATAAAGAGTTTAAAATAATTTCTTTCTTACGATTATAAACTAAGTAGCATAAATTTATATTTTTTGTTGGGTAATTGGATAAATATATTGTTGGAACAAAATAAATGTATGTTTGAAGCACAAACTTTAAAATGTCATAACTAAGCTTAATTACATATTACCAACATAATATTACGAACAATCTGGCAGTGAATTTACATAACCACAATAAAAACTGGGGTCATGGGAATCAACGAAACCCATTTTTGACCTAATCCATATTGGTGTACATTTGCATGTATGCATTTAAAACCCAGATAAAATGGTAATCAGTAGAGGGCCCTGTTCAGTGAATAGGGAAGGTGGGGCAAGACTTAGTTGCTAAACTGTATCAGTTGTTGTTTTTTAAGCATGAGGTTCTATCCTGCAGGATATGCACCACTCCTGGTTAAAATATTTGCAACTGTTGATCGGTTCCAGATCATGACAGTGGGACTCTATTGTGATGGTTAGATCAAGTTGCAAGTTGTTGTAATTATTCCATTACAGTATCACCAAACAATCAGAACCTGGAGTCGGGTGAAGATTTGTTTTTAGGGAATGTTGAGTGGGAATCAAGTTTATCTAAAGAAAGTTATGTTTCTTATTTTTAAATTTGTTTCAATAACTAACACTTTTCTCTTTCTCTCTCTTTTTTTTCTAAAAGATTTTACATTTATTGAGGTCAGTAGAATAATTCTTTTGATGTTTCATTTAGAATGAATAATATACCTACCTACTTAAATAAGCGAGGTAAAGTGCTTCTGGGATTATTTTTAGGAATGAAAACTGCAGAAGACTTTCTTTAAAAGAAATTAATGTCTTTTCCTACAGCGTCAACAACCACCTGACGAAAATAAAGATCAATATGGTAACAATTTATGGTATTGTGAAAGCAGTCGTGGCCACACATGTGTTGCCAAATATGCCCAGTATCAAGCTTCATCATTCCAGGAATCACTGAAGGTAATCTATTACTTATTTAAAAATTAGAAAAAAATATGTACATATATATGAAAATTAAAGTTGGTACAAATTATCATCCACTCAATCCATTTTACCAAATCAAATGGATACACACATTAAACTCTTATGTTATAATTATTGTACTGTTAAAGTTTCTATAAGGTCAGTTTTGATATGTTAGAGCAAGTTGATACACACATATCTGTGTGTGATTTAAACATGACATTTGGGAGTACAATAGTAACAAAAATAAGTATTACTGATATAGAAATTAATGTAATTTACTTGACAATAATGTTTAAGATAACTTGAAGTTAGCACCACTTCTTTTAAGATAGATTCTCTGTGAAGTTTGATTTTAATCTGAATTTTCTAAAACAATAAATATTGAGTGTTGTGTTTTGCTTTTTTTATTTTTTCTTCCCCTCCATTTTGCAATATTCTTATAGGAAGAACAGGAGAAAGCTCGGGGTAATTACAGGGAAACAGATAGTGATTCTAATTCCTCTTCTTCTTCAAAACCGTGAGTTTTTATTTATTTCTGCAATATTTTATTTCTTGTGTAATCTGCCACTTATTTAGCAGAAAGTTTGCAAAAAGTGAACATTACAAATTCACTGTGAATTTGTAATAAAAGAAAAAAGTCTGCTTATTTTTTTTCATGTTGATTGCATTATAGTTTAAAAAAAAATTATCAAGTTATTGACGTGGAAAGATAATAAAATGAGTAAATCATGTAAATATATAAAATCTTTCAGAAGTTACAAGGGAAACTGAATTTAAAAACAAAAATTGATCAAATAATATAACTGCAACTCAATTTTTGCTCCCCCCCCCCAACATCACATGTTTACCCTGCTTTCATTCCTATGATGCTTTTATCCACTGTAAACTTAAAATTCACCCAGTAAGGATCACTTGAAATGTTAGTTGACAGTGTTAACAAATCAACATGCATCTATACTTTCAGCCTGTATTTTATTGATTTCTTATAGATGCTGTCTATATATATATATATATATATATATATATATATATATATATAAAAAAAAGAATGAACAGTAAGATATATAATCTGGTGTTCTTATAGATATTTTTATTTTTACAAAATAGTGCTCAATGTAAATTTACAGAGCATTAATATTATAAATTAATTTATTTAAAATATGTTTTTTTTTTTTTTAATATTTTCTAACCATGTTTCAAAATGGAAGCTAAAAGCTATTTTAATTTTGTAATTAAATTAGACATTAGTTCCATTTCATCCTCAAATTTTGGAGTAACTTAAAATTTTAAAAAGTTATCCAAAATTGCTTGAGGATGAAATGGAACTAATGTCTTTAATTTAATTACAAAATTAAATTTGTAGCTTTTAGCTTCATTTTGAAACATGGTTAGAACTGTAGCTTAAAAAAAACATATTTTAAATAAATCAATTTATAATATATATATATATATATATATATACACTTTTTGTTATTTTTATAGATACAAATATTTAAGTAAATTCTCTGTTTATAATAAACAGTATTAACTACATTTGGCCTGGCGTTTTTTGAAATCATGGGAAATTTGTTGTTTGGCTAACCAGACACTTCCTCTGTAGCTAAATGGTATAGCACATCAGACTAAATGACAATTCCGTGTAGGATACAGGATTGATTTCTGTCGGAGGATACACATTTTCTATGAAATTTCTCAAGCATTCAGGCAGGTAAATGTAGCTAATACTGTTTATTATAAATAGCATTTATTTAATATTTGTATCTATAAAAAATAACATAAACAGAAAATATATTAAAATAATTGTCAAACTTAGTCCATTTTATATATATATATATATATATATATATATATATATATATATATATATATATATATATATCAAATTGTGCTGGATTTCAGGAATGAAAGAAGCTACTCATGAGGTGTAGGGTTGATGCATGTTTTATATTGACTTTTATTTTATTTTTTTTTTATAGTATATTTTGCATTGGCTTGCTCAAAATTTAAGTTACTTGTAACTTTTTTTTTTTTTTTTTTTTGAAATCAACCTCTTATATTTTCAAGTTGTAATGCATGTGAAAAATAGTTTCATATATTCATGAAATAAGATTGTTTTCACAATGTTAAATGCATATTTATTTTTTTTTAAACTGAAAATATTCTAATTTAATTTCTATTTCTATTTAAATTTTTATTTTCTCTTTGTTCATAGGAAAATGAAAAGTATTAAATTTGGTACCAATGTAGATCTTTCTGATGAAAAGAAATGGAGGCAACAGCTGCATGAACTCACTAAGTTACCAGTATTTACAAGGGTAAGTTTGAGAGTGTTTACATAATTTGATACATAATTATGACTGATAATAATTTTAAAAATCCATTACCTACTAAAGTAGAGCTTATATGTGCACACACAATTTGGTAGCAAAAATGAATTCAAACAGGTTTTAGGTTTTATGAAAATAGACTGACAAGTTTTGTCTAATTTTTTTTATTGCATTTTTCCAGTTTGTGTATAGATCAAATTTATGAAGAAACAGTCTAAAATTCATAATATCTTTTTGACCATCTCTGATCATTATCAAGAATGCATGTCTTTAGGAATGATACCTTTCTAATTTAAGTATGTGCATCACACATAAGTAACATATTTAGGACAGTTTGTAACTACTTTGTGTGTGTGTGTGTGTACACACAGTTTTGTTCATGAGAGGTGACATGAATTATCACAGTTCAAATAAGGCATGATAATAGGTGCCAGATGGATAGGAAATTCTGTTTCTGGAATTGCTCAGGATATTTAACATGCCATGATGCTATGTGTATACTTATAATAACTGTTGAAAGGCATGAACATCTGCCTTTGTACAGTGGCTAACTATGAACCCTTAATTGATCATGACCAGAAGTGTCTGTCTAGAATTGTTTATGTTCATGAACAAGAAGCACTGGTTCAGATTACATCAGCATTCAATTCTGTGGATAACTATTAAAGTGATATGTCTCAAGATCTCTCCAGAAGTATTCCAACCACTTGTGAAATCGGTTGCTGCACTGTGTCAGACTAGAAGGAGCTTACATGATACTGGGCACGTATCCTATGACTTTATAGTAGGCCGATGAAAGAAATTTGTAAAAGACATATTTATAGTATATTATTTAACCATTTGTGACACTGGCAAACGGAAAGAAAGGGGTTAAGTTAAAAACATAGCTTGGAATGAAACAAGAAGGGTTAAAGAATAGTGATGGACAGACTGAGAGAAGGAAAGGGGATTTCTTTTTATTTGCAAAGTTTGTTTCTTTTTACGGCAGAGATACTTTGAAGAAAAGTGATTCTGTTACAAGATATTACCACTAAAGCCGTATGGCAATATTTAGCTGACAGCTGATTAATGAGGCGGCTTAAAAAGCACTGGTTACGTAAACATAATCTAAGTGGAATAGATAAAATTTGGTCTGTAACCAAATCAAGGGAATAGTTTCTTTGTGTAAAGACCCAGGACCCAATGATAATTTTAATTAATGACCATAAACTAAGCCATGCCACATGTTGAGAGCCAGATTGGTTGAAAGACAACCAAGGTGACAAGCGCAGGTGAAATACCAAGAAAGACAGGAATTGCCTACATGCATTGAGAAGTGTTAGTGCAAGGCACAAATTAGAGAAGGAAGTTGGGTAGATTTATATCCTGTAACCGCTACCCATTGGAAAAGAGGTCTCTCCAAATTTGGAAGTATAATTATCGAAAGCCAGACAACAAGGAGGCCCTTGTTGGAGATAGGAAACCACCGAGTCACTATGCCCCATGCCAGTTTTGGATGGAAGTCAATATAAGCAGAATATTGAGATGACCGAGACAGAAGTTCCAGATGACAGACGAGAGAAACCACTCTACTGATTCCCACATGAATTACTGCCAGAAAGAACCTCCGACTCAAGCCTTGTTCCAGACTTAGCCAAGTTGAGCATAGTATCTCAGTAAAATGCAAAGTGTGTAGGGTTAACATTTTGTACACAGAACCAATTCATTGTATAAAAACAGTATTTAAATTTTCATAGAACTAGACCCTGAAGAACTCTTGTCTTTTCATCTGCAAGGACATTTTTTTGTTAAATTCTTTTGTGACATAGCTTTGCCTCGAACAGACCAACATTACATTTGCTGACAACAATTTGAGCTTTCCAGCTTTGTGATCAAACAGCACAGCATAGGCAGATTAATGGTTTAGGCTAGAATGACCAACAGCAGCGTTTGACCAAGGTCTGTCAGAAAAGTGTTCTAATTAGAAGCATGAGAAAAATGTTAAAAATCAGAATTTTTGAACACAAGAGTTGGATTATCCTTTAGGGTAATGTAGGTTGCAACCTAGGACCCCTCAAGCTTTTATAAAAACAATAATTTTAATTTTGTAGATGTTATAACTTCTAAATGTTTTCATAAACTGATATATATATTATATAAACTCATTTATTTCACTGCAGGAAGTAAAACATGGAAAAGAATGATTTAGTTTGTTTCATTGGGTTTCAAGTAGATAACATGTTTGATTTTAGTTCAGAATATTTCAATTTTGGAAATTTTTATGAAGAATTTTCTAGATAGTTTCATAAACTGAAATGATATCAATATGACAAACTCATTTATTTTGGTCACATTGATAATTATAGGGTTTGATTGATTTCCTGTGTATTTATATTTCCTGTCCTATCTGTAGTGGGAAGGGAGGTAAATGAACTTAGTAAATTTAGGATTAATTACTTCCCTTAATTTTAATTTTGTGAACATTCTCTTACAATATGGATTTTTTATTTCTTAATCTGACATTTTTATTACTTTTTTTTTATTACTTATTAGTGGATACTCATTTGAGTAGACACTCCGTTTATTTATTAAACAGTATATTTATTTATTTTCACCTACTGGCTTGAATATTCGGGAAATCGTGATGGGTGGTTTAACTGAAAAACTGACTTTTTTTAGTTTCATCTTCACACTGTGAAACTGCATCGAAATTTTTTATGAAACTGAAATCATTTGATTCTTTAAGTGCTATCACTACTGAGTGACCATATCCAAAGAAACACTATTGAAAAAGACTTTAGGTGTTAATAAAATTTAATTTTGTCAACATTTTATACCATTGGAAGGGAAAAAGATCAAAGAAAAATGTTAAAAACATTTAATTTTAGGAAAATAAATGTGAAATCTGTTTACAAAAGAAATAAAAAAAAAAAAATGAAATATGACATGACACTTGGAAATCATAGAATGTTTTCAAACAGAAAAAAGGAAATATGACACTTGGAAATCATAGAATGTTTTCAAACAGAAAAAAGGAAATATGACACTTGGAAATCATAGAATGTTTTCAAACAGAAAAAAGGAAATATGACACTTGGAAATCATAGAATGTTTTCAAACAGAAAAAAGGAAATATGAAATCACTTGGAAATCATAGAATGTTTTCAAACAGAAAAAAGGAAATATGACACTTGGAAATCATAGAATGTTTTCAAACAGAAAAAAAGGAAATATGAAACTTGGAAATCATAGAATGTTTTCAAACAGAAAAAAGGAAATATGACACTTGGAAATCATAGAATGTTTTCAAACAGAAAAAAGGAAATATGACACTTGGAAATCATAGAATGTTTTCAAACAGAAAAAAAATATGAAATATGAATGTTTTCAAACTTGAAAAATCATAGAATGTTTTCAAACAGAAAAAAAGGAAATATGAAACTTGGAAATCATAGAATGTTTTCAAACAGAAAAAAAGGAAATATGACACTTGGAAATCATAGAATGTTTTCAAACAGAAAAAGGAAATATGACACTTGGAAAAACAGAAAAAAGGAAATCATAAATCATAGAATGTTTTCAAACAGAAAAAAAGGAAATATGACACTTGGAAATCATAGAATGTTTTCAAACAGAAAAAAGGAAATTTGACTTGATGTCTGAAATCTGTTTCAGTTTTCAAACAACAAAATAGCGTATAAAAATAAAAATAGTTTCCAGTTTTGTCTTAATGTTAAGTCAGATTTTTTGTAAGGGTTTTCTAGTAAGCCAGTAGTACACCAATCATGAGATGAAGTTGTTGTAAATGAGAAAAATGAATATATATTTTTTTTTTTAATAAATAAATTTGTTTTTTTATCTAGAGACTGCACCTAAATTAGATATTAAGAATAATTAAAATATTTCCAGATATTCAAGACTCTAGTGTTTGTCTTCTACAAATAAAATTGTTTCTATCTAGCAAATGCACCTAAAATTAAACATTAAAAAAATAAAGTAAGTTTTAATCTCAGTTTTAAAATGTGTATATTTTCAAAACTAAGTCATTTTTTTTTTTTAAAACCCAAAGTAAAAATTATTCTTTTTTTAGTCACATTTCATGCCTTAATATAATAATACATACTTATTTTCTATGGCAGGCCATAAGTGTAAATACAAATTATCAGTATTTCTGGATATAAACAGGAGAATTTTTTACCTCTAAATAAAATAATTAATCTCTTGAAAACCAGTGTCAAACAGTAGTTTCAATAATTTGAATTTTTTTTTTTTTTCCTTTTCTTTTTGCTTACTTTATAATTTTTGAAGGAATTTGCTTCCATGGGTAAGAGAAAAAAATGAACATCTTCCTGATTGTAATTTAAGGTGTCTTCTAATTGAGTGTACAATTTCAAGAATATTGCTAAAGATTGGTCACTTTGATTTTGCAAAACAAAGTAATTTAGTCTCGGAAAAAAATATATTTCGCATTTTTGGCTGTTTGGAGCAAAAATACCATTTTTAACTCCCTGTAAAAAAATAATTCAATGAATAAAAGCACATATAAATTACATATTTAGAAAGATTATTTTATTTTCTTTCCAACCATATGAATACTTTTAAGATTGAACCAGAAATACATGAGAAATTGCGAGTTGAATGGACTAAGTTGCAAATTTATCAATCTCAAATGAAATCCGATATTGACTGAAAATGCTATCATTACACAAGAAAATGAATGGCTTCCTTAGAAAGCAAAAATACTAAATTAAAAACTGAATCAAAAACCACAGTATAAGGGGGGTGGACACAGAAACTGATACCAAAACATAAATTGCCAAACCGACCAACTCTACTGTCACTAGATCTGATGTGTTTTGACCTCTTGGCTACAGAATGTATCAATGACCAAGCAAAGTTGAATAGTTCTTTTAAACGCATATTTTTCTCTGACACTTGAAACAGGATACAAAACTGAGTAAATATGTCTAATGTAAATAAAGCAATTTGTAAAGGAAGGGATGGATTTTTTATTTATAAATGAATGAATGAATTGATTTTCCTTAAACTGTACATCTTTTATATGTAGCACAAACATTCAAGATAAATTGTGCATTAGAATTAAATATTAAAAAATGCAATAATTAGAGAATTCAAGACATTGATAGTTGGGGTGTAAAAGGAATGTCTACCATATTTTCATTTATTTTTTTCCCTTTTTATATTTGGAAGGCTTCTTTAAAAATGAGCTTGTGTACTTGGTTAAGGAGTACATTTTTATTTTATTAGTAATATTTTTAAAACGGCTTTTGCTATTTATTTTTAAAGAAATGAAGCATTTTTTTATTTCAACTGAAGTATCGTTTTATTTGTCTTATTTCTTCCAGGTTGTGTCAGCAGCAAATCTATTAAGCCATGTTGGTCATATAATCCTAGGAATGAATACTGTACAGCTGTATATGAAAGTCCCTGGTTCACGTACACCAGGTATGTTTAATTTTGACCAGTAAAATATGAATATTAAAAGAAAAAGTTAACTCTACATAAAATATTGGTTTAAGTTACTATTTCCTCAAACATAAAATTTGTCCATCTGGTGTTTGTCAAATATTAACTATTTAAAATGTCATGTTTATTTTTTTTTATTTATTTATTTTTTCTTTGATAGGACATCAGGAAAATAACAATTTTTGTTCTGTGAACATTAACATTGGCCCAGGTGACTGTGAATGGTTTGCTGTACCAGATCAATATTGGGGTGTTATAAATTCATTATGTGAAAAGTAAGTTTGAAACTTTTTTTTTTTTTTTACTGTTAGCAGATATAATAATCAACTTTTAATATACTTTCTAATAGTTTTCTTGCATAATTTTCAATGTTAAAAATAAAGCATTGTAATTATTTCTATTATTAAATGTAACTTCTAAGATTTTAGATCAATCTGTGATCCCCAATATTTGATAAATTTTGTGGTATTCAAATATCAATGTAAGAAATAATTTCATAAAATAATAGTAATTTAAAAAAAAACTCTTTTTAATTAGTAATAAATATTCAATCTCTAGCTTAGAGAGAAAAGAAGAAATCTTCATTTTTAAAATTACATTTTTTTTTCCTTCTAAAATAGTATTTTTTATGAATATATACAAGGCTATATTTTATTCAGTCTTATTTTATCAATTTCCTTAACATTCAATAATGTTCAAAACTGATATATATAATATTTAATCTGTATAATAATAAAATTATAGGGAAGTTTTCATGCTTTAATTTTAGCTATGATTTGGTTTCATTATTGAAATAATGTTTTTCAGGAATAATGTGAATTATCTGTGGGGTTCTTGGTGGCCTGTACTTGAGGAATTATATGAAGCCAATGTTCCCGTGTATCGATTTATTCAAAAGCCTGGTGATCTGGTATGGGTCAATGCTGGCACTGTCCATTGGGTGCAAGCTATTGTGAGTATCTCATGTCATCATATCTATATCTTATTAACATGAGTACATCAATTACTAACCATCCAAGCCATGGGCTAACCATCTGTAAAGGTAATGTTAAGTGGTGCAACTATATTCCTTGACATTGTGGAAATGCCAGAACTATATCAGTGTCATGTACTCTGACATCTGTTGAGTCAGTGTAAACAGATAAGTTTTTATATATATATATATATATATATATATATATATATAACGCATACACTAAATTTCACCTAATGCAAGACTTGAGAGTCACTGTTAAAATGGTTATGGTGAATGGGATGTGATATAAGAGAGGAGGCCATAGAAAGTGAAGATTATGAGGGTAAGGAGAATGGATAATGACTTCAAGTGGTTAAGATAGTAGTTTTCATGAAAGTATTCTGTTCCACAAAGTAGTAGTTTTAGGGGAAAAGCTGTCTTTCTCTTTGCATATGCAGAAAATGAGGGCAATTCAGCTCCATGGAAGTAGCATGGTGTCTTCTAGCTGTAATGATCTGAAATAGTGGAACTAAAGAATGAAGATTTGCTATGGAAATAGCAACAGAGTAGCAATATGCTTGTGATGTCTGTAGGGAAAGAGGTTGCAGTGTGGAAAATAAATTTTCTTTGCATAAATGATTCTGAACTATATCAAGACTAGAAAGTAAGGATTAAGTAGCTCCAGCTCAGATATGGCAGTAGTACTACATTTTTAGTCTGATCTGACTCTTGCATGACAGAAAGATTAAGCTACTTGTGTTAGAATCTGTTGACCATTTTTCCAGCATTTTTAGTAATTGGTTTCACTTGTGGTTTGAAGTAAATTTGTGACCCAATGGACATTTGTGAACCATGGAACCACATTGAGAGTAGAATTATTCATTGACTGGAGAAAATTTTGTCTGATTGGTGATGAAACAACGCTAGTTTTGGTTTTTGTGGTAATGAAAGTTGCAAGCCAGTTTCTTCCCCATGAAACAGAGGTGAGATTATCTGCAAGGCTCCAATTATCTTGATTTTTAGAAGTGCATCCATAAACTGATATTATCTGCATAAATATACTTACTGGTGATCTAAAAATGTTCCTAGGTAAATCATTAATTAAAATCGGAAACGGAGTAGGACTGAGGAGAGTGCATTGATCTCATGTGGTTCTAATGACTTTTATAGATTTACCTGAGATAAAGGACTTGATTCTGTAAACTTTTCCAGGGGTACCATAGCTGGAGAGTTTGTGAAGGAAACCCTTATGCCACACTTTGTCAAAAACTTTTGAGATATCTAAGGCAGTCTGTTGATGAAGCTACCATTGAGTGCTTCACTGATTCTAAAGTTAATAAGTTTTTTTTCAGGCAGTTTCTGGTAAAGTAAATAAATTCCTCCTTGTTGATAATTGACTCAAAGAGATTATTAATGACACTAAGCAGATTGATTAGGCAATATTACACTGAAGATTAACACTTGCCAACATTCTTGAAAATGGGGAAAACAGCTGACAACTTTCATAGATTTGAGAAGCGTTTCTCTTTTAGGAAAACTGACATAAATTACCAGAGTTCAAATGAGGCATGATATTTAGTATGAGATGGATGGGACATGTCAATTCTGAAATTGTTGGGGATATTTCATGTTTTGATATATAGTTCCACATGTATACTTGAAATGCCTGATGGAAGGCATTATTGCCCATTGTAGTACCTGACCATGTGTCCTTAATAATCATGACCAGAAGTGTCTGGCTAGCTACTATGGATTATGGAAACAGAAGACCAACCAGGGTGTCCTTGTTAACACTAGGCACAGCACCTTACCTAGGCTTGTCACTAATTGGACTGTGGAGAGCTGCCAATTTGTGATGTGTTTCTATGAGTTACAGTTCTAATTGTCGACAAAGCATCAGGCAGCCTGGTGGTGGTTTCATAATGGTGAAGGGAATGTTCCCATAGCATGTTGGGCACCTACTGGTTTATCTAAACATGTAGTTTGGGACTTTTTTCGCCTATTAGATATCTCCATGTATCTCAACAATGATGAGTTATTCCAGCAGCATAATATTCTATAATCAGGTCTACATTTCCTAGAATTGGGTTAGAAAAAAAATAATTCTGGAAACATTCATATTTGGCCACCAAATTTGCATGCTAGATCTTGAACCTACAGGTCTATGAAACAACTATTGGGATGGCATGACAGCATCTCTCCAGAGGTCATCCACATTGAGTTGCTGCACTTTGCCAGCTTAGAAGGAATCCTACATGACACTAAGCACATTGGCATATCTGTGGCTTTTATCTTGTCTGCTATCTAGTGTTCTTATTTTTTTTTTTTTTTTATAGAGAAATGTGATGATAAATGGTACAACTGTTTTATTGATTCAATGTTTGATACTTTTATTTCTGAAGCTTAGCCTGGCAGAAGGCTGGTAGTGAGGCATCCAGTAACTATCAAATTCACTACATTATGAAATAATTCTTTAAAATATGCTTACTAAATTTATATACTGTGGTAGGCACCCTAAAATGTATATTAGGTGGAAAAATTATTAGTATAATTAGCCTTAAGTTAGAAAAATATTGGTTTCAGAAACAAAGTTAATGACAAATTATAAAAAATTTTGATATGTTCATCAAATGAAACAATAGGATTTTCTTTTCTTTTTTATTGATAACTGCAGTTTTGATTATTATTTTTATTTTATTTTTTGTAGGGTTGGTGCAATAATATTGCATGGAATGTTGGACCATTAAATGCACTTCAATTTAAACTGGCATTGGATCGCTATGAATGGAATAAATTGCAAGCCTATAAGTCCATTGTTCCTATGGTTCACTTGTCATGGAATTTGGCAAGGAATTTGCATATATCAGAACCCATGTTATTTGAAGTTATAAAGTAAGTCTCAAGTTGATATTAAATTAATTTTTTTTAATAGAGGTCTTGCAATGTATTTTTTTTACTCCCATGATTTAAAAATAACTCCTATGAATATTTTTCAATAAAGTTGTTCATTTCAGTTCAGTCCATGGTTTTGTTGTTGGAAATATTGGAACACTATCTTCTCTATCAAAGAAATTCTTCTTTTATGTTAAAATTTTGTAAAGTGTTTAATTTTCCATTTCTCAGTTATGTAATTCTCTTATCCTTTGCTTTGTGGATTGCAGTGGTTGTGTGGGTGGTATAATGGATAGCGGCTCAGATTTGAGAAAAGAGAGCCAAGTTCTAATTCCAGTTGAGTTTGTTCACTTAAACACAAATATTCAGATTGTTAAGCATCTGAAAAATAACTTTTTTTTTTTTTTGTTTTTTGTTTTTAAGTAAAAGTAATGAAATTTATTTGATTTATAAGTATTGATTCACAATATCAAAACCAACACAAAAATCACAAATTTAAAGAAACAACAAATTAGTTCAATCTCAATAAATATGAGTAAGTAAAATATTTTAAAGAAAATCAAACTTTAATAATTGAGAAATTAGCAATTTTCAAATCTCTTCTCTAAATCTCCATTGTCATACAACATTGTAAGGTGCTTGGTGTTCCCCAGGGTAAGACACATTAATTATTGAATAAATGTTTATACTGAGAAAATGAACGTTCTGGTAACTGGCATCCATATGACTTAATTGGAAATCTGTTCTTATTTGCATTCCAAAATATTGAGATGTTAAAAGTATTTGGTAAGTCATTTTGGTAATTCACATAAATTTGGAATTATTCTAGAAAATCAGTAGAAGTCCTTAATGGCAGCAAAACTATCATGGTGGCATATAGGTATCTAGGATCAAACAAACAAGTTGCCTTGTAAAAGTTATATATACAGTGGGGCATCCAGGTATTCAGTTTTGAAAAAGATCTGTGCTAAAAAAATCTTGAAAATTTGATATGGCCCTCTTCCTCTCTGTGTTTTCTAGTTCAGATAGAAGAAAGTCAATTTCTAGAGCAAATATTAATTTAGATGTATCAGTATGCAAATATTGTTTTACATCCATCACGTTATATACAACACCTGCAAGTTGAGACTTAGTCAAAAAATCTGTTATTGAATGGGTGCAGTTCTCATTTATAAAATGCAGATTCAGGCATAAATTATGGTAAGATTACTAATTCTAGAATCATGTCTACTGCAAGGCCACAACTCTTTTCTTAATCCTTCATAAAATTGTCCATAGGATGAGTGATATTTCACTGCAATTAAACCAGGAATTCCATCTGGTTGCCACTGGCACAGGAGGCAGTTTCACTTGTTCCTTAGGCAGGGAACCTTCAGGCCATTTTAAGTATCGCTGTTTTCAGCTAGGCTTTTTTTTAAAAAGGATTATGACGAAAGTAGTGATTAGTCCTCAGATTTAAAATATGTGCTAAGTACAACACACAGTAACTGTTAACAAACATATTTGATAAAACTTCCCTATAAGGCCTTTTAAAAATAGGCTGAAGAACCTGTGACAAATGCAATATCCTCAAATTCAATATCAGCATGAGTTATGGCTTGATGCATGCCTGACTTACAGTTTGATGACTGCATTCTGTTAGGTTTACAGCATCAATAAGAAATGATTCCCTATGAATACTTGCAATCACATTCAAATCACTGGTCATGACAGTTGTTTTGTCTGCTATGATGCTGACAGATGGATTAGCAAACATGGCTTTCAGGGCAGCAAAGTGATAAACAATTTGGGCAGATGAAATTGCCTAACACAATTGACACTTGGAATAGTACCACCTTCCTTGCAATGCTTTAATATGAATGGCCTCATTTTGTCAATTTTGTGTAGGGAGATGTCAAAGTGCACAAAAAAGCAAGGACAAAATCATTGTGTATTTTTAGACTTGAACAAAGTTGTAACTTGTCTGTTTTACTTGAGATAACATTTTGGAACACATTTTTGCCAAATGAATTTTTGATTCCATCTTTGATTGTCTCAACCCTAAAAATGTCAGACAAAATTTGCAAAGTAACACATTTTCTTTTGCATAAAAATTGCCAGGAAATTGTTATATTCTGGCTTTTGTACAAATTTTAGATGTTGAATTCATTTGTTTTTAATTTTTTTTTTTTTTTTTTTTTTTTTTTTTAATAAAATGCTGTTCAAAAATTTTTTTTCCTTTATTTCTAAATTGTGTAGTTGAGTTTCTTCTAGGCACTGTGATAGCATTTTTCTTTCATCATAAAACTTTACAAAATAAATTTTTTAGAACTGTTCATTTGTTTTAGTTTAAGTCTACATTCATTTCTTCCAGATCCATTTGATTTTCACAAACTCTACAAGATTCTAAACAACTTGTAACCTTGTTTTATTATTTGTTAAACTTAGTGTTGATCCTCATATCCCTTGCCCTTCCAATTTCTACATCAACACTATTTGTCTATCCTCCCACTTTGAAGGTTTATTAAAAATTTTAACAACAAAATTGCAGAGGCAGTTATTTATTAAATTTTGAAAGAATAAAAGAGAAGGAATTTGAAAAAAAAAATCAAATGATTAATTTATTTATTATTGAAAATTACATGGAAAAAAAAATTTTCAGATTTGTGAATCTGTCTACAATCACAGAAAAATTGGTCCCCATATTACAATCCAAAATATGTTTTGGCTTTAATCCACAAGGGGTTGGTAAGCTGTAAAAAACAAATATCAATCAATTGTGTATTGCAGACCTGTTACCTTTGGCTGAAGAAATTAGTTTGGTTTAATTTTCATTATTTGGGCCTAATTTTTTTTTTTCCATATTTTACCATACATTTTCTTACAATTTTTATACAGATGCACTCAAATATCTAACCATCCAATTCTGTTTTGTGTTAGTGCTTCTTTTTTATGTTATTTATAAACTGATAATAGTTTTAATGATCATATTTCCCTTAAGTTTATTTAAAACACTGCTTCTCAACCTTTTCTTCCTTGTGACCCATTTTTGGTATCAAGAAAATTTAAGGCCCACATAAACAAAATAGAAATTTCATGTCACAGGAAATATATTTTATTTATGAAAGAAAAATATATTTATATTATTTACACTTTTTTGAACTGTTGTCCTCATCTTTATTGACATATTCTTGACATTTCAGCAGTTGTACATTCCGACCTTCAGGTGATTAAAATTTTGAACTGAACTTTTTATTTCATCTATGGAGGTAGATTGTTCTAGTTCCATGTACTGTGGTGTGCAACAACTGAAATGTTGTGAATATGTTAATAAAGATGAGGACAACAGTCTAAACAATGTACATAATTACAATAGCTCATCTCAGAAATATAGACAGATATTGAAACAAAATGTAGTAGAAAATATAAATCATGACTAATGGCTACACTGTTCCTAGTGCCTCCAAGCTCATTTAAAATATCTCTGGCCCATTTTTGGCACTAAGGGCTCACATTGAGAATCACTGTTAATCCAGGAAAAATCAAGTTGTATGAAACATTCAAATCGCTAAAATTATTATTTCCATTGGCTGTTTTCTTGAGTTGCTGTTTGATAAAACTTAAGAAGTCTTACTTTAGATGAAGGAAGTTTTTCTTAATAGTTATTGAGCATAAACATTTTTCTGAGTATGTGAAGAGTATTCATGAGCACACTCTTTTATATCTCAGATAATGATGGGTTTCCAGGAATTTTTTTTAATGTATCAATAATCAGTATCTTTCTTTTTTTTTTTTTTTTTTTTTTTTTTTTTTTTTGAGTTATTTTCAGAGCTACTATTGGAATACTGGTTGTTTAAATGCCACATGTTTGTATTTTTCTGAATGGGAAATGTTATAATGTTGGCATATCTTCCAATTCAGGTATTTCCCTGTATTTTAATTTGTTTGGGGCTAGAATAGAACACTCGTGGTCAATGGTTTCCCCAGTGTTTGTACGAAAGTGACATTTTGGATCTGTCCTATACATTAAAATAGATACCCAATAGCATTTTATTGGTATGATTTTTTTTTTTTTTCTTTCTTTTGAATGGCTAGGATGAATTATGGTTGCAATCCAGAGTTCTGCAACCACTGGTGGCTCAAATTTTTTTAATATCAGGGTCTTGTGCTCACAATGCGTATTGTTCATGTAAAAGCTTTTCTTTCATTTGATTTTGAAGTTAGACTTTCATGTTTCTGCTTTTTCTTGGTGGTTTTTGTTCTCTACTTTTAATATTCTACCTCCTGTTTCATCCTGTTTGTAGATCTTATTTGAATTTTTGGCTTTCTTTAATAATTGAAGGTAGCTTTTTGTTGGATTTATGGGGGTAGATAAGTTTTAGCATCCAATCAGTGGTTAATTGAAGATAGCTTTAATACCTATGGTTATAATCTTGTGAGTTGGGTCAGTTCTCTATCTTCATCTGCCCTAGGCAGGTACAGTTGATCTGCATTTGCCTTGGAATGGTGCATGTTATACTTTGTAAAGAGTTTCCTGATCCTTTTATCTTTTCTTCATATTTCTTCTATACTCCAGTTTATCACAGTGAAAGAATATGTAACAACAGGTATTGCTAGGGTGTTAATAGTTTCAAATTTATATTTTGCATTTAATTCAATTGTATTTATTGCCCTTACTTGCCTAAAACATTCTTTTCTTGTTTGTTCTTTAATTTTCCCAAGTTGGATTCCTTGTCCTTCATTTATACCAAGATATTTATATACTTGTTCTAGTTCACAACTATATTTTTTATAATTTCATTCCAACCTTTTTTTTTTTTCTTTTTTTATAAAATTTTTCTAATGGTAATATTTTTATCATTAACAAATCCTCTAATTCATTTTAATTTTTTGAAAACAACTTTTAAGTTAAGAATAAGTGTCATATATCTGATAAATTGTGTTATTTCATTTGATAGGCTTATTAAGGTATGAAAAGAAACCTCTGTGAAATATTTCACTATTGGTCTATAAGTTGTCACATTTGATTTTATCAATAGTTTACAGTAGTTTTTTCCCCACTTTTTCATACTGGACTTTGAAAATTTAATGAAGACTTTTAATTAATTTTAATGTCTTTATGCTCCATTCACGTGGAACGCAAATTGTTTTTGTTCAGTAGTTGATTAGAACGTTCCTTGCATTCTTTTTGCTCTTCAGCTAGAATTCTATTTCTGTCAAAGAACTGCTGTTTCAGTTAAATTTATAGGTCATGAATAAGCAAGAAATTGGGTGTTAGTAGGGTCACCAGTTTTAGGGATTAAATATACAATGCTTTGGATCAGGTATTTTCTTTTTATTGACATAAATTCTGTTTCATTTATAAGCACTAAAACTTTGACATTTATTTTTAGGTGTCAAGGTATGTATTAAAAGCAAAATACTTTCAATAATTCTAATTTGTGAAATTACTTTGTGAGCAATTGGAATAGTTTTTATAGGATAGGGTAAAAATTTAAGCTGATGTGTTTGACTTTTTTTTTCCTTTACTTCTGGCATTACTGAAATGTTATTTTCTCATCGTTGTTTCCAAATATATTGTATCAATTATACAATCCTGCCCATCCTATTATTCAAATAAAAACAAGTCAATTGTATCAAACCAATTTATAAAGTGACCTTTCATTTTGGTTAATACTAAAATTGATGTTTTTTTTTTTTCCTTTTAGGTCTTTCTTAATGAAATCTCTGCGGCAAATTCGAATGACATTAGATTTTCTTGAGGAGCTGGGGATTGAGTTGAAATGGCATGGTCGAGCACAGAATGAAGCTGCTCATTATTGCAATGACTGTGAGGTTAGTGAATTTTATTGTCCTTCAGTCTTTACTTATTTTCTTTCCCTTTGACATATGCTGCTAATTTTCTATAATTGGGCTTTTTGTCACTGACGTGCTATGATTTCCATTTTTAGAATGCTCACACAAATGTAATAAATTTAACTGATCCTGTCTGGATTTATTTTTATCGTTCATCCAAATATTAATTGAAATAAAAATTAAATTTTAAATTAAGTCACCACGTAAAATAAAAAATACTTCAAATGAAGTATTTTTTATTTTTAATTTTGATGACAAATATTGCATCCAAGAGAAAGAGACAATATGTAAAAATGCATTTTAATTAAAACCCACAAAACTGAAGTGAAATACATGGAATAAACTTAAACTATATGTTCAATACATATTGATTTTAATTTCATTTTTTTTTTTTTTTTGCAGGAGGAAGTATTTGATATTCTATTTGTAACAGAACAAGATAAGAAGCATGTTGTACACTGCCAAAATTGCGCTTGCAAAATAAGCCCAGCTTTAGAGGGATTTGTTGTGCTTGAACAATATCATTTAGAGGACTTAATAGAGATGTATGATAAATTCCAGCTTCATCCATCAATTCATCAAGTAAAAAGGGCTCCACAGACAAAACAACCACCAACACCTCAAGTAGTCACACAACCACCGCCACAAAAACAGCCACTTTTACAGCAACAACCAACTACCAGCAGCAACTCTTCATCATTAGCATCATCGTCATCATTGTCATCATTATCATCATCATCATCATCATCATCAAGCACAACCACTGCCAGCAGTATACCTGCAGCACAAGCTTCTTCCCCACTAGTTCACCACCAAACAGAGACAACGACAATGTCTGCTGCTGCTGCTGTCCACATACCATCCCATCCACACATCTCAAACAGCAGCACAATTGCAGCCAGTCAGGCCAACAATTGATCTTACAATAAACAAACATTATTCTTGGCCACTGTCAACTATATTGTTGCTGTTAAACCAGATTATTCTCTACCATCTAAACTATTTATCATTGTCAAGACTGGTTCTCTACTTTTTAGAGATTCTCAGATTTTTGCTGAAACAAGTGATCAGAAATACACATGTAAAATTTCTCCTAAGTATAATGCAGAATTTTCTTTTCTACATAATTTTTTCCTCAAAGATGAAGGCAAAAATTGAGACTTGAACTTACTCTGAATTTGTTTTTCAGAAAAATGGTACTGAAATGACTTTTTCTTACAAGGCATTTTCAGTGTTTTATGTGTGTTGGAATTTATCAAGCTCTGATGATTTTCCTCTAAAATGTCTGTGGTTGTGGAGATTTTCTTTTTATTTTAACAATAAAGAACTAAAATAGAACTTTCCCTAAATCATATTGGATTGAAAATAAACAAATTAGCCCTCATTTATTAGAGCTTGTTTTTAATTAGACCAAATTCCAGGTTAGACACACTGTCAACAAAAATTATTCTTAAATCAGCAAATATTTTTCTTCCTCTTCTGTTGGCAAGAAAACTGACCACCAAGAAATGCTCACTATAATTTTTTCTTTTTTGTGCAGCATATAATTTGCACAATTATTCCTTTCATCTTCAGTTTACTAATGTGTTTTTGGCAGAAAATTTAAAATTTAATTAACCTTACTGATGAAATTTAGAATACTAGCTTCAAACAATATTTTTAAAGAATTTTTTAGTTAATTTTCAGTTTCTCGTTTGAAAATCAAAGTCTAACATTTAATTCAGCATACTCACAAATAAAGAAATATTGTTTTTAATAAGGAGAAATGATCTGATATTTTGAACTTACTTAGTGCTTCTTTGATTATTTAACCATCTACACTGCCACTTTGTACTAAATTTTATAAAAAAAAATATATTTTCAAAATTTTCTTTTAACAAAAAAAATATAGTCTTTGATTCTGTGCTTTTTTTTTTTTTTTTATCTCATTTTGCCCAAATCTATATTGAATATAAGGATAGGAATTTTAGTAACTTTTAAAAACATTTGATTCCACTCGATTTTTTTTTCAGAATAAGTAATTGCTTGAAGCTGCCATCCATTGAAATATTGTTCATTTCACATACTCGGCTTAAGAATTTGTCTGGTCTTGTTGCAAATTATTTGCTTTATTTTGTTACTTTGTAAAAATTAGTTTATAATAATTAGATTGGGCAAAAGGCAGAATGGATCAATTGGTATACATCTAGAATTCTTGCTGATAAATTTCAAAATCTCAGATCATTTGGAGTTGAATGAGAAAGATGTATACAATTTAAGAATGATGCATTTTTTTTCTGGTCAAACTTGTTTCTTCTGCATTACCTTCCACATAAAAACGGTGAAATTGGATAATTTCCCTATCTAAAAATAAGGGGTTATAACAATATTTCCGTCTCTTGAGGGTTTTGAAAATATATAATCTTAAATATTGTTTATTTTTAGCTGAGAAGAAAAATATTATTTATCAGATATAGAGTGCCTGCAAACAATTTTTAACACTTAGTTTAAAAAGATTTTATATATGAAAATATTCTGCCAGATGGTGGTCTCTAATTTGTTTAACATGAGAGAAAATATTTTCATTGTTGATATTTCTATGTCATAAGGCTATTAAATTCCCAATTTGTTTTAGATTGTAAAAGCAATTAATTGCCTTCATTTAAGAATAACAAAATTTAATGCCTCAAATTTTTTTTTTTTTTTTTTTTTTTTTTTAGCAGTGTTTTATTTGATATTCCATTCATTAATTCACTGAAAGTATAAATATTCTTCACTTACATGGTTGGAGTGCAGATTTCATCCTTTTTATTTATTTTTTGCAGAGTATGTATTTTTATATTAGTGTCACTTTTTTCCCCATGACTAAAAGCAGTAAACTTTTTAATGCACAAAGCATTAAAATAATCATGCTTGTACATTGATCTAAAGAATTTGCTCATGTGTTTTTATATATATATATATATATATATATATTTTAAACTAATGCCAACATTTGTCTCTTTTCAATGGATCTTGGTCTGATTTACCTTAAAAAGCTATAATATACTTTAAGTATCCTTCAAAGAAAACTGTCCTCATAGATTGTTAAAAGATCTTTGTCATGTCAGCATGTTATCATCAGGGAAATAACTAAATCTAGTGCAGCCATAATCTCATCTTTTATTAGTGTGCTATTTTTTTGTGACCAGAAAGGTATTTCTATGCATCAGTGTCTTTATTGTATTTCTTTTTCATTCCTGTTTTTAAGAAGCTGTAAATACCATCATCAGACCAGGATTGAGTGATTGTGTATGCAACATCTCTTGTTATTAGCACCATATTTTTTGTTCAGTTTGTATTTTTACTTTTTCACATCCACAAACTTATGTTTTTTTTTCTGCAAGCAACCATATACTGTTTACAATGCTAGAGACATCTTGTCACTTAGCAGCATGATCTTTGATGTATTGAGTGTGTGCATGTTTTTTTTTGTTTTGTTTTTCCCCAAGTATTCATTACTAACAAATTCTGTAGCAATGGATTTGATTTCTATGTCAATCACTATTGTACAGCAAATCTCCACTGCCTATTGCATTGAATTCACCTAACACTTTCTCTAAGGATAACTGCCTTCAATATAAAAGAAAATATTTATCATCTTTAAATTTAGACATTAGGAAATCTTGTGCACTGTTTCTGTGCATATCTGTCCGTCCGTACACCAACTTTTGTCTTTGAGGAACCCATTCCATCAAAATTGTCATCTCACTGATTCGAATTTGCATAAAAACAACCTTTGCATTAGTCATATTCCTACATTCACAGCCAACTATTTAATGACCTTTCCTATCATTAATACTTTTTAACTGGTTTTAAAACTATTTATTTCATAAGGTATTTTCTAATTGCTTCTAATAAGTTCAAATATAGAAATTTAATAAGATTAGAATAATTATTTTCTAATTTTATCATTCCAGGTTTAATTTTTTGCTAATTGTAAGTGATAACTTTCCAACTTCTATTTCAAAGTGTTAAATTTGATGTGCTATTGGATGAAAGATTTCAATAACAAAATTAAAATTTTGAAAGGTTATTTAAACTAAATAAACATAAAATTTCAGTTTTTATTTTTTTTTTTTTTTTTCAGTTTTTATTTGACAGACAAAAATGGTATTTATTTTTCTTTCCATTCATATATTTTCAAGTTCTGCTGAGTTTTTCCTGTATAATAAACATTACAAGTAGCAAATTTATTCATGTTTTTTGAAATCTGATAACTGTATATTGATGCCTTTGTCTTATAAGCCAATTATTTTCAGAAACTAAAAAGATTACATTTCTTGATGTTGGTTTATGCAAATTTAATTATAGGTTTATTATTTATGACACTTGGCATCTAATGCCACAGTTTGATGGTTTGGGGCTACTTTCCATTGTTCTTATGATTTTGATGTAGTTAAATTGCTAATCATTCTATATGAATAATGAAGTATAGTAATTAATCTATAATTTAATAATAGTCTAAATATTAAATGTTAGTAAACTATCAAATATTAACTAGCTTAATAAGGTTTAATTTGCAAGAAAAAAACCTGAAAAGGTACTCTAAACCATTACAGCAGAAAATTCAAGTATTTATTTTTATTTCTTAAATCTATTGAAGATGCATGTATTTGGAAGTTTATATCCTTTACTGATAATGCTGTAGGTTTTCATTCTTAAAGCACAAATATTAAAATGAAATTATACAATTCATTGTGAATGGGAACTCTTATTCATCATGGAATTATTTTAAAAATAGTTGTTTTAAAGAAGCTGTCAGTGAACGTAATTTTGAATTGATTCACATTGATTTAGTTACCCTAAAATATCATGCAGCACTGATTCTTGAAATAAATTATCTTAATTTAGTTGCCTAAATTTTATATTTTGTATAAGCTGCATTTCAATTTTATTTAAATTACACACACACACTGAAATTTTATTGCCTTTTAAGTTTTTTTTTTAATTTACAACAGACTTGTGGTCATTAATGAAATTTTGAGGAATACCTAATAGGATTCTTAAATTAAGTCAAGCCTATACATATATTGAAGGATTAATCTACCTGAAATTCTTTAATGCAATGTAACTTATTCTAATTGAAGCAATAATGCAACTTTTTTCCTCTATTGAAAATGTGGCTCATTAAAATTTAAAATAATTTAACTAATTTATTCAGATGTTAGCTAACTTAAAAACTAACTGAATACATTGATTTTTTTCCAAGTTATTTATTGTGCGAATAGTATTTTAGTTTCAATATGGATTGATTAATTCCTTTTCAATACACAAATATACTTTTCCTTTTTTGAAGCTATTAGGAGAAATTGGTATTCATCTAAATCTCAGGAAATGAGTTGACATATTGAATATCACTAATTATTAAAAGCATTTGGTATATTTTTACAGAATATCTAAATTTCAAATTCTATTAGTCCACTTGGGCTTTTTATTGAAGTATTTTTAAATTCATATAGTGTATCTTAACTTTCTGCTAAACTTTAATTATTACTATATTTTCTTTTTGCAATATAATTCCTATTTGTACATAATGTGCTCATGATTTTGCAAGACATTTATGTTAAAAATAATATAGTTATCATTTAATTTATAATCTCTCTCCTCAATAAGGTTTGGTAGAAGCTTGTAAGAAAGCGATAGCCTATAATCATTCTGTTGTTTAGAATAAAACTAAAATGCAAATTTAGTTGAACAATTGAAGAGATCGGGGTATCAGTTATAGCAACCTGTAAGTTTACTCCAAACCATGACCTTCATGTATAATGCATAGAGTAAGTAAGCCTTTTTTGGGTGGGGTGTATTATGTGCTCAAAAATATGGTAATTAATATTAAAACTTAAATCTTTGTAGGGTCAGTCCATGATAATATTAAACTCAACTAATAGATTAAAGTT